CGACAGATCCCTTCGCGAGTTAGTTGAATACCTTTTGAATGTTCATGAAATGCATACCTTCGAAGACTGAGTAGAAATATATTGCTTCAATCCATACAGGCTATAAAGAGCTTTGTAAGGTTGTCCTAGTGGAAATATCTCGGTATAGGGAACGATAGAATTGCTAAGATCCTGCAGAATTCTGTCATAGACAGGAAACTGAATGAGGAATGAGTATATCTGAAAGTAAGATTAATAACTACTACAGCTCGTGAGATCTGTATTAACACGTACCTTCTCCGCCAAGTTTTCTTGCATACCAAGATAACTCCAGATCTGATCAAACTTCCTTGTAATCTCCAATTCTAAAGGACCTTTGTTGCTCGGCAATAGAGGATCTGTCTCATCACGTCGCTTGACAAGAACAAGCCCATTTAGATTGAGTTCTTGCACGGACTTACATAATTCGGCTTCCTCATGTTTGAGCTCCTTTCCACCGTAAAACACTCTGCAAGAAGTGAAATCGGTTTCCTTTTGCAACTTTGCAACTAATGTAGCAGCATCTTCATCCGCGCCTATGGTGAGTTTCTTAATAGATGATGTGGTCTCATCGAATGCTTGATAGAAGATTGTGAGCGAAGTGCCATGTGCGGTAACTGATGGTATCTTGATAGCAGAGCGCAACTTTGGAGTGGCAAAGTGTGCGGTGCTGGAATAAGCCGCGAGAAATGTCCGCAAAGCTGCAAGTGATCGAGTGAAAAGTAATTCCTGTTCTTTAATTTGAGATTCCGGGGTTACTATGACCATATCTTCGTCATCTCCACTGGCTTCAACTGTACTAGAAGTCTTTAATTGACGTGCAGCATTTGCTAGTTTATCCAAGCATCGTGTCAGAAATGCTAAATGCAACTCCCGTGCTTTGATCAGAGGTAGACTTCGGACGAAGGGACCCACATAAACACTGACAAGCTCTTGGATGGCCATTTCATAGACTGTTCCTTGAGGTGCGCTCTCGATTATACGCCACAACTGCTCTATGGCGAAAGAATCGAATGATAGGTTTAGCTTGATATCCTCATTTTCTTGAGACTCCTTGTCTTGTTCGTCTAGCCAGAAATAAACTCCACTCTTCACGAATAGCAAAGTACCATCCGAGAAGTACGCGGGTTCCAGTTTTGGCAGATAGCTCTGAAAACAAATGACAAGGTATCTATTGGAAAACTTTGCTTTTTGGAAGGCCTTATTCAGGATTTGCCAGCCTGCTAGGCGATCGGCGGCGTCATTTGACTGAGATCCTACTAACAAGTTCCAAAGTCGTGTGCCCAACTCGGCGTTGATAGTGTCGGGATCCATCAATATGATTTGTAGTATGATCTCGCGACGAGCAATATTAGCAGGACTGTCATAGGCAAGAGAGCGATGCCCAGCTATATTAGATTCAAGTTCGGCAACCATCAATCTTGTGAGGCCATGCTGGGTGGTCAATGCTTGAAGATCTGGCATCAAACTTTGATGAAGTAATGCACTGATGACACATATACTGCCAGGAGCGGTAACCGATTGTTCGGAGATGTCTTTGATACAACTCAAGTAGATCCCATTACGTGCCTCCGGACCGGGTCCGTGAACCAGCAATTCACGCAGGTTGCTGGCTGCAAAGTTCTGAATTTCAGGATAGCCGTTTGGGCAATCATCGCTAGTGATCGAAGATTGACGAATCAAACGGACGCAAATTTCATAGGGAGAAATGTCGAGGTCCCTAGGGCCCAACTTGTGTGCAAGTTCTCTGAACAGGCTTTCGCAAAAATCTCTCATTGCAACAGTGAACGCCTGTATTGGGAGGGCAGAAACTTTCTGACAGATATATAGGCATTGTGGAAAGTCGTATAGATGGAAAATTTTCTTAACCATTTTTAGAATGGCTTCCACAACTCTTGGGTCCTGGCTCGTCGTAACAGTTTGCCAGATAGTATCGGTATGCTCATCTTGGTAGGTTTTTGTTACTACTAAAAAGCCAACAATATTGTGACTTTCATTAATGATCTCGGGGTGAGACCCAATACCAACAATGTAGTCGATTAGCTTATGTTGCAACAAGAACCTCGCAAAGTAGGATAGAATTGCGATATTGCTGGAGTTCGCTTCTTTTCCTTCTTTTGGTCGATGAGAACCAAAGAGACTCACGAGGTCCACACAGAGAGTTGTTACACCGATCACCCGAAGTTGCATCTGACTTGATGTAATGAGCTTTTGAAGGACGGAAACCTTCCAGTCGACTGCAACGACCTTAGAATAGTGTGCGTCTGAAATACCGGGACTCATCATTTTCTGACTTTCAAATCGAGCACTCGCTATTTGAGGAATGGCGTATGATGCGACCCACAATATATACGAGAGACAAGTTAGATGTGTAGTTGCAGCGTCAGGAGTCAGAAAGGTAACATTTTTCTCGATGATAGAATCCAGTCCTGACGACATGATATTAAAATATTCGTATCCAATGGCCAACTTTCGTATAGCGTCGTCATGGACATCAGGTGGGGCCTGTCTCTTAGTCGTAGCTGAAGCAACAGCACTCATTCTCTCCACCAATCTTGTCGGATCTGTCAAATTCTCAAATAGTCTTGGATAATTTGGGATAAGTCGCAACTGGCCTTCGACATATTTGGTCAGGAGAATCATGGATCCACCACCCTCCTCGAAGTAAGCTTGAAACTCAGCAGTATCTTCGTCCCACTTCCAATTGAAACATGTTTCCACACTTCTTCCGATGTGACTTAACTCTGTATCGAACTTCTGTAGTTGAGCATAAGTGCGAAGAAATTGCGGTGATACGAGCTCCGACGTTTGATCCGCATCATATGTTAAGGTTTTGACGTCCATTGCGAGGAATCTCCCTGTGAGTTTGGCGTATCGGTACAGGAACTGGGTTAGAGATTTGGATTGTGCATTTACTCTATACATGAAAGGTCCAAAACGAACACTATCACGAATTAGCTTGGAACGACTTTTGTATCTGAAAGTACTGCTAACCTTCGAAAATGCAATGCAAGTATCAAGTCTGAGAATGCAAACCAAAAGTCTCTATATCTGGTGAATGCGCCATGCAAGCGACTATCTGAATTGGCGGAGCGCAAGAAATCATCTATCCAGTTTCGAAGTCGAATAAATATATCCTCGGTGTCAATAGGCTCTACACTCAATGTTAGATACATTCTACATCTTTCGGTTGCGCAGAATTCCTTACCATATTGCAAAATGTTTGTAACCCTTCTGAGTGCCATGAGTAGATTCTCCCCGCGACGTTGGTAAGGGAAGTGACTTAGAGGATCGGGAAATACTTCCTCCTCATTGATGATAGCAAGGGTTGGACTTCTCTCAGGATCATCAGAACTGATAGGAACGAGTTCAACCTCTGGGCTTCCTGCCGCGGAAGGAGAGGAAGAGGGGGTTTCAATAACTGAAGCTGGCACAGTTGATAGAACATCACTCTCGGATTCAATACTGATTCTGGTAACTTCGTCCTCCATTGTATTTTGTATATTTGATTGACTCATAGGAGAAGGCGAGGTGGGGGAAGGCGATTCTAAACGATGTTGAGGAGTTCGCAGATTGATTGTAACTTGACTGGATGTTGGACCAGCTTGAGAATGCGCCGTGGTAGGACGCGTTGGAGTGCTTGGTGGGAGAGGGTGATGGTGACCATCTATATTATCTTTATGCGAAGACATCGAATCGGGTAGAATATCTAAAGCTTTAGTTGTATCGACCGACCTACTTCTCGAACCACTTCTGGAAGTCTTTTGTCGCTTTCTTGCAGAATGCTGTTCGCTATCATCAAATGGAAGTGGATGTGTCGAACAAGGCTCTGGTGAGACCGCACGTTCTGGCGACGACTCTACTGAATCTTGGTCCATTTGGTAAGGTTGAGAAATTGAATGAATGGGATAGAAGCTGTCCAGGACAGCAGAAGCTGTAGCAGCAGAAACCTTTCGTTAAAATTCACACCACGAACCTCTAAGAAAATCGCATGGGTGATTATATTTTATTGAATTGACATTCCCCGCACGAGGTTGAGGCTGGTGAATTTGGGGATGAGATTGAAGAATTGACCTTTTGGGTGCAGCCGTATGACGGAATGAGAGGGGTAGGTTCGTAGGACAAGAATTAAGAGGTTGAAGTAGATTGATTATGCGATTAGGATGTAGTATCGAAAGCTACCATTTATTAAAGTTTTCCCGATAGAAATCTGTTGGAGAGGAGGGTGGTAAGTAGAAGGAAAAAAGATTGTTGTGTGTGTGTAGTGAGTGTATGTGCAGTGGGAGGAGAAGTAAGAGAGAGGTAGGTAGTTACGTAGTTGCAATCAACAAAATCGGATTGGAAAAGTACCTGGAACTAAGGTAAGGTAAGGTAAAAAGTAAGGTAACTCGATGTATTTATTGTATTGCGTTGAAGTGAAGTGAATAAGTATCAAAGGAGACCTGTCTTCTTTTCCTTATTCATAGCAAAATCAATATCCTTTTGCCATATAGAGAAAAGAGAAGGAAGCTGGAATTGAAATATTAGAAGAAGTTTTTTTGTGTGAATTAATTTTGGGAATGATTGTGATAGAAGGGTTTTGGATGATGATGATTTACCTAGCACCTAGTCATAACTCTTATCAAAAGTTCACCACTAGGTAGGAATAAGTGTCATAGAGCTTCGTCGCCCCACCATAACTGTTGGCGTGTGCATTAAAGCGGCACGGAGTACTGCCATCAATCTGCATGAAAATGGCATGGGATGAGACTGCCTAGAGACAGAATGTAAAAGTGGCAAGGCTTTGAGAGTTCAAGGTGACAAAGTTCACGCGCCAAACACAGAAATTGCAGCCTGAGGTATATATGCATCACTAGAGAAGCAGAATTCTGTGCAGCTGCTAAGCCCGATTGTGTTTAGTGGGAGCTAGTACGTTTGTTTTATCTGGTCTACCGATGCATCAAATCCTCCATTGGGTTTTGAACATCTGCATCACATATTGATCATGTATTATATACTACACTACAAGTATCAATCGGCATCACCATACAAACACACATATCACATGATTCAATAAGTTGAAATCAATCAAACTGAATACTCCCATAGAAAATCTCAATCTTCACATTTCATCTCGTATATTCACCCTTCAAAACAGCCATCTATCTCTGTTATTGTTTCCACTCCGAGAAAGAGAAAGCAAAAATGGATTACAGAAAAACCAAAACCATCTATGAATTGGATACTCCATTTACATCAGCTAATTGGTTAGTAAACATTCAATGCTACATGCTATCTGCTATGCACATGTTTGTAATGGAGCAATATTAATCTGAAATTTTAGGCCACAAGTATCTTTTAAAGATCAAGAAACCATTGTGGAACTTCTATGCGGGTGTGTAAATAATCTGACGCACAAGAACTTGAAATTCTCTTTCAGTCATTGATTTACGCTACAAGGAGATTCTTCTTGACGTCACTCTTCTCCTTGAAATTGCCCAGTGAGGACATGATTGCAGAGAGTTCTGCAGTATTTATCCAAGAATTCTTCGAAATCAATGCCAAGCTAATAATGATTACAAGGCTAATCATTTTTGTAGTTTACTGTCCCCAATTGGTGCATATCGTTCCAATCACATTACTCCTTCCAAAGGAAAGCGGAGCAAGAAGCGCAAGAGAAGAGACCTGAAGTCAGAAAATGAGAGGCCCTCAGATATTCCTTCATCGCCTGAAATATCTTCCTACATCATCACAGGCCTTAATAGTATCCATCGGATGCTAGAAGAATCATCCAAAAGAGGCCTCGAGACTAAAGAAAGTCTCAACACCGGACCAGAAACTCGGCCCCAATCTAACGATGTCGACTCCAGTACTCAAAGCTCACCCCATGCTCATTTCTCAGCCATATTCGTCGCCCGCTCCAATCAGCACCCAATTTTCAACTCCCATCTTCCCCAACTCCTTAATACAGCCTCAAAAGCATACCCTGCCAAACCACCCACAAGATTAGTACAACTACCTAAAGGGTCCGAAACTCGGATAGCAATAGCACTCGGTCTACCAAGAGTTTCGTTCCTTGGAATCCTAGACGATGCTCCAAATTCTAAGGCTTTGGTTGATTTGATCCGAGATTGTGTGGGGGAAATCGAAATACCTTGGCTGAATGAGGCGAAGAAGGCGGAGTTTTTGGAGACGAAAATTAATTCTATTCAAACCACGATTGGTGCAGTGAAGGCCAAATGAGGACAGATGGACAATGAAGACGGAGCAATATCCTGAATGTCAAGATCGACTACGGAGTATGTTCATTGAATATCTCAGCACACTTGAAAGATGTCCATCAAATTTTTGATATAATTCGAATAATTACCATCAGCCCAGTCATGCTACCTAGCAGATACACTGCGCCAAAAAAACACTACTTGGTTGCTAAGTATAACGAAAGTAGCAATACGATATCCTAAGTCAAGTAGAAAGTACCAAAATATATTTTTCATGATATAGACACCATGTTTTTGGTTTGAAGACATAGAAAGCACAATTTTATATGCACCCTTGATCAAAACCGTGCGTTCTATCGTTTTATCATTTTCACACACATTACGAATATTCTTCACGCTTTTTAACTTCGACCCTCGTTTCTCTAACCTGTAGCACTCACGAACCAAGTATATTGCAATTCATCATTCATTGCTAGGTATTCGCTGTGCTTTTCTTCAAGTCCTTAATACGATTCAGGTATTCTCAACTCTGCAACTCTCAAATCCCTTCGCTTATCATTCATTCTTCAACCTCTCCATCCAACCCCCTTTCCCCTCTTCTACTTCCCACCATCTTCCTCCCCAGCAAGCAAACTCTCAACCTTCGTAACCTTCTCTGCAAAATGCTGTTCCTTATCTGTCCGCGTACCGGCTCTAATATCAGTCTGAACACGTAAAACACCGTTTTGATGGACGAGTGTGTGGGCTTGACCTATCAGGCGCATTACTTCGTCCCAGGTACCTTCTACATGAGGGGTGAGTAGTTAGTATTTTATTGTATTGTTTGTGAGTCAAAAGTGTGATTTCTTCTACTGTGATCTCTCTCTATGTAGTATAATTCCACTCGCGCTTGCACTTGCAAAACTTCCATAACCAAAAAGCTTCATTTCACGAAACCTTTCAAAGCGCCCCTTCCAATCACGATGATTTCGTCTCGAAATTCCGGTATCCCATCATCTCGAGATCGAAAACTTGACATATTGCAAGGATCTGAAGAATAGAATACATACCAACAGTCGTACCAGCAGAATGCATACTATAACTCAATCCACTAGCCTTCATCAATCGCTGGACCGCGGCTACTTCTTTCGATACCGAAGCTGTGGGTGTACCGATCTGTGATCTGTTAGCTTGATAGCTGGGCAAGAGAGAGAAGGGGAGGGAATAAGAAGAGGAGGAATTGAATTGAAAGGGGAAATACGGGAATCAAACAAAAATCCGCAACAGCTCTGGGAGGTGTAGGAAGATTGGCATAATCGATTGCGCCGCTTTCGGAAGACGAAGAGGCCATTGTTGTTTTTGGATTTTGTGTTGATGGAAGGGGAATCTGGGTTTCGGTATCGGACTTGGGAGATTGGGAATACTTGGAGTTTTCGGAATGGATGTGAGATTTCTTGTTGGTGGTGATATGGGACGGAACGGAGTGCTGATGAGATGTTGGGAATTCGAAGTCGAAGTGAGAGATGAGCAATTGGCACGTGATGCGGGGTATGTTATTTATTTGATTATTTTTTAAAGCGACGACCCCGCTATTCCTTCAAGCTTGATTCTTGAAGCATCAACAGATGCAGATGGTTGGGTTTTTGTTTGGCTTTTTCTTGGTATGTTACAGATTTATATTTGTAAATTGGAACTTATATTGCAGACTTTTCACACGAAGATAGATTTAGAGCATAGGTTGGAATATTTCCTCATAGGTTGTAGAGATTTTGAAGGGTCTTTTTGTCTAAGACATAATGGCTGATCAATTGCTCTGGGGAAGTGATATTCAGAATAGTAGTGTTATACAGATATTATTTCATTACATCATCTTTGCAGCAAATTTCTGTTCATTTTCTTCTTCTTATTATGTATCTCTGTGTTCTTTTTCTACCTCACTCTCCGTTGCTCGGCTCTCTCTCAACTTCTCCCTCTCCTGTTAACCCCTCCCCCTCCTCCCTCCCAAGCCCGTCACCTCCATCCTCCCTATCAAAGTTCAAGCCAATCCTAAACCCTGAAGACTGTAGAAATATCCAGAAAGACCTAGTTAGCACTCAAACATATGCAAATATATATGACTATTGCGAAAATCCAATGAAGCATATCAATTGTGGATGAGAAACACGAGAAAGCACTGTGTAGGATCTCAACGAGAACTGTGTACTGCGCTACACTCACATACAGCCAAATATAAAGCGGGAGAAATTTAAGGCTTCAATAAACACGAGAACTATGTAGTATGTATCTGTGTAGCTGTGTATCTCAACAGTGTTTTTACATCAAAACACAATGTTTTCAATGACATGACTGCCTAAAACATGACACTGTGGTATGTTTTTAGTACTTGGATATGTAAGAGAGAAGATCAGGAAGATAACGAATCGACATTGGCCCGCCCATAAGAGATATTTCGTCGTTCACATCGCACGTGATAGGGGGTAAAGTTTATTTCACTTGAAATGACAGCCGTTGGTGGACGATCCCAACCTTATATCATGGTCGTCCCTACTAAACTTGTGCCAGGGTGGGCAGCATACACGAGTTTCATCCATTTCTCCATTCGGCTTGCCAATGAATCATTTTCGAATCATCCAGATTAATGTCGCTTTCAGGTAATCAACCATCCAACAGGATCATTCGTTACTTCGTACATATTTCACATAATGCCTCCTCACCCCGCGAAAGAACCAAATTGTCGAACCTCGAATAATCTGGAGGAGAAGCGTGGAGCGGATGTTGTTTGATGAATTGTGGATTGCCTGGTCTGATCTTTGGTTTGAATCCGGTAGACTCGGAATAGAGTGGAGAAGATGGGAAATTCTCTAATCTCTTATAGATTTCGATATGGTTGAGAATCGAGATGTGTGGACGAGGCAGACTCGTAGAGCTTTCATTTGGAAGGTCTGATATACGACAAAAGATTAGTAATATTTGATACTGGCTGGCACATTGATCTTTGTCCATGGTGATAGTTTCTTGTCTGCTTACCTACCTACTATTTACTAAACTAGGTCTTTTCGGGAAAGGGGTATTCCTGGTGGCTAGGGCTTACATATGGCTGCAGATGGCATAAGATCAACATCTTCAGCCTTCTTCAACTACAACTTCACCCACTTGATTACTTTGGCAGGTGGGCTGGTGGCAGGTCCAGCTCAAGGCCCAGCTGCAAGTTGCAACTCTTGAAGATCATTCTCCATTGTTGCGTGATAGAGAAAGCTTACATTGGTCAATTTAATCAGTTGTCCTCGTCATCTTCCGCGACGCCGACTGTACCGATTACACTTTTTTGGGTCAATGCATTGATTTCTCAACGCCTCAATTAAGGATAAAAATAGAAACAGCTCTAGGAAGATTTTCGTATCTTTCCAGCCAATTTTTTTTTGACATGCAACGATCCTCGCTCTCTCACCAACCTCAAACGTCAGTATAAACGATTTGACTTGAACAAGCATCACCCGGTGTGACATCCTATATCATCCTCAAACCGGGACTTTTCCATCGTTTCATGCAGATCTAGAAGTATTGATTAGAAGTTCTCCTTTCTAAATCTTACTCAAATACGGATGAGGTCCACTTTTCCAAGACTCGTAATGTTGTTGGCTTACGACAATCTCAAGAGAATTGATTAAAAGAGGCAACGAGGCGCAGTAGAATGAGGCGAGCCGTAACGTATTCCACAGTTTTCATATATGGGTAATCTATTTACTTTGATCAAAAGTTCTCCATACTTTTGAAGCCTCTTTCTTTCTTTCCAAGATTTTTTTATTTTTGGGTGTTTGAATTTTCTCATATATCTGTTGTTGAGCACTTGTGGTGTTTTCTTTGTCAGATTTCTTCAGAAGCAACACGTTTTTAGCTTTACCACTCTTTCGAACGAAGGATTTTATCTCATTCTCGTGGAAACCCCTTACTCCATTAAATATGCGGTCGTTTGCATTTGCCGCAGCGGCAATTCTTTCTTTGGTTAGCTCTTCGCAGGCCATGCCTCAAAATGGTGGTGGAGGATATGGAGGATATGGAGGTCAAGAATCATCATCGTCGTCGATATCTGTTGCAGTTGCAACATCAGCTAGTTCCGTATCAGTCGCTGAAGCAGCAGTATCAACAAGCACAACCGCCTGTAATAACTCGCCAGAACTCTGTAGTCGAAACTATAACAACATAACACATATGGGTGCCCACGACGTTGCATTCCTTCGAGACTCGACGACCGGGTATTCAACATCAGGGAATCAATTCTACAATGCTACTGTTGCTCTATCTGCCGGTATTAGATTGCTTCAAGCACAGGTTCATAACTCGAACGGAACTTTAGAACTATGTCACACAGATTGTTTACTCCTCGACGGTGGTAGTCTTGAGTCGTTTCTTAAGGAAATTAAAACATGGATGGATGCCAATACTAACGAAGTTGTCACTTTGATCCTTGTTAACTCCGACGACAAATCAGCCGCTACCTTCGGATCCGTCTTCTCATCTTCCGGTATCGATACTTACGGATATACCCCTACTTCTACCACCGCACCAATCGCCACTTGGCCAACACTTCAAACCCTCATCACTGCCAATACGAGATTGATTACTTTCATCGCAAGCATTGACTATGATTCCACATATTCATATCTCCTTCCAGAATTTAGATACGTATTCGAAACCTACTATGGGGTTCTGTCTCTGGGCGCCTTCAATTGTACTCTCCAACGTCCTAGCAGCGTCGATTCTGCCTCCGCCGCTGTCTCATCTAATTATATGGGTCTCATCAATCATTTCGCCGACACAGCCCAATCATTTGGTATCACAATCCCAGATGTAAGCAACATCACTACAACCAACTCCGCCGCTACCGACACAACAGGTGCACTGGGAACTCAGGCAGAGCAATGCAAGAGCGAGTGGGGCATCAAACCAACTTTTATCCTGGTAGATTTCTTCAACGTAGGACCTAGTATTGACACCGCGGATATCATGAATGGAATTTATGGGGAAACTACCGGAAGGACAAACGTCAGTACGAGTGTTTTAACCGCCAGTAGTGATTCCAGTAGTGATTCCAGTAGTGATTCCAAAAGCGGTGCTAGTACTCTAGGTTTGGGGATGTGGAAGAGTTGGGAATGGATGTGGGCTATGATTGGAGTGGTCGCAGTTGGGAACTTGGTCTGGTTATAGACGATGTGGAGGGAATACTCTTCTCATTCTTCATCGGGGGATACCTTTTGTTTATGGAACTATGATTGAAGATTTGCTTTTACATTTACATAGCGATGGCGTTTCGGAAATTGGGCTTGGGAGGCAGAATTGCACCCAGATGATACTGGTTTCGGAAAAAGACCTATCTAGATAGACTTCACGTCACTTCAATTGAAGATATGAGCCATTGAGTCGCACGTTTGTATGCACACAGTACTCTGGCAAGAATTACATTTATTTCACGAATAGTCTTGATATCCATATAAAGTCAAGTATTCAATTGATTCATCGTGACTCAAAACGTTTATTTTTCTCTCCTGAATATCAAACACCCAACCTCTTGTCCGCATCTTCTTCGGAATTTCTGGAAAATAGTTCGTCTTAAATTGGTGGAAGCACAACCAATCATTGATCTCTAATCTGACCCACTTAAAATCGGCGACATCAAATGTGAACCTTCACTTCACGCACACCCTACACTTGACATCACGACAACTAGCTTTCCACGTTCATTGACTTCCTTCCTCAATTTCTGATGGCTCGATCAAAATTACTGCTACTATAGGTAGGTCTTGATTGAGTATCCTCCCCGGGTCTACAGATCCAGTAACAATGACCAAGATGCAATTGGACATCTGACTTGCCGATATGCTTACGGTTAGATCTCGTTCATCAAAGCCAAGAGACACTTCCCCCATTCTCTCGATGTCACATTTCAATCTCGCATATTCTAGGAGATATGCGGATTATCATATGTGGAAGTCAAATCCTCATTATCACTAGATAACAACTATAAACAATCTATGAGTCATTTCATAATGTCTTAAGTAGGTAGTCAAGGTAAGATAGAGTAAGATAGTATAGTTAAGTTACGAATTCCTCTTTGAATCGCTATTCTTGTTCTCCTCCTTCTTTTCCATTGCCCATTCATAGTACACAATAATGGCCATACCCTCCATCACCCCCTCCTCCCCGTCCCCCAAATTCGCAAAAGTCGACCTCATTCCTTGGGATCCAGAATCTCCATCCCATGTCGAGAGATTATTCAATCAACGAGTAGCCTGTACCTGGAACTCAGAATATGTAGAATCATGGCGAGAAAAACAGAGACAGGGCGCTATTACTCTTCAATGGATCGTACGTATCTCTCTGTTCCGATTATTACATTAAATCTAACATGCTCTAAGGTTTTACCAATTACCACCGTCGCTCGCGATGATCTTCATAAGCTCCACACAACGCAATTCCCCTTGGAATCAGAACCATTAATCGATTCAGCAACAACATTCAACGCACTCCCTCGTACCCTTCCCTCACCACCCCACTCCTTCCTCCCCATCGGTCACATAGCCCTCGAAGTCCAACCGTCCTCTCCCATCTCCTCCTCTCCCTCCTCCACCTACAAAATATCTGGTCTCTACATTTCCGGCGCCATGCGTAGCTTAGGTCTAGGTCGCGCAACTATGGATACAATCGAGACACTTGCCTCTTCACCCCCGATTTCTGCGAAAAAATTATTGCTAGAAGTTATAGCGAATGAATATCCGGGGAAGGAAGAACGGAATGTGGCGCTGAAAATAAACAAGCAGCCGGTGGAGAGACAGGATTGGTATGCTAGGAGGGGGTATAGGGTTGTGGGGATGAAGGATGGGATGTGGCCTGAAAAGGATGAGGAGGGGAGGGTATGGACGGCTAGGTGTTTGTTTATGGAGAGGGTTGTGGGGTAGATGGGAGGGAAGTTATTATGTATAGAGAGTTTTGAGAAAGGGGGTACGGACGATACAGTTGAAAGAGATGGGCATAGAACAGAAGACGAGCGAAGATTGTCGCAAGATGCGACACGCGACTCGCTAAAGCTTCCTGAAATCTTCCAAAAATAGTTTTGAAAACTTACAACCAAGTATATACCAGGACCTAAACCAAAACCTGAACCTGAATCTACACCTTTCCTTCTGTTGCACATCTGAAATTCTGTCGCAGTGGAAGATTAGTAGTCAGTAGGTACTTTGGTTTTGTTTTATTGCGTATCTCATAATTTCCCACGACCGGGCATAAACCAAATTTGGTTTTTTCGTTCTACCTCAGTCTATCCCCCCGGTGGTATTTCGCTGGTCCCCGAGGTTCCCGTGGCGGGACTCCTCGATCACGCTTTATTACATGTCTGAAATCTTCTATCGTGGAATTAGGTTGTGTTATTTCTTGACCCTTTGTTGCATATCTAAGTCTTTCGCTGTGGAGCATAGTTTGTTTTTTGGACTTTGGTTGCGTGTTCCCTCTAATCCCATGATGGCATCTCAGAACCTGTTGATGTCCGGGGATTCGTGTCGCGATGGAGGTCAAAAGTCTACTTGTTTTCCGCCGTGGTATGTTAGATCATAACCAGATCAGATGTGATTCGTCGTGGTGGGAAGTGGATTAGGTTTGCACTTTTGTTACATATCTGATTCCATTCCATTCCATGATGGGATGGATATTGATCATTTTGGGATTTTTGTTGCATATCTAACACTTTTCTACGACGGGGCGAGGGGTAATTGTATATCTCCTTCTCGTTGTTCTGGAATATCCGAAAGGAGAATTAGTTCTGTTGCACATCTGAAATCCTTCTGTGGCGGTAAACGTGGGCTCGGGGGCTTTTATTGTACGGTCTTCGAATACGGATGCTCGTTTGTTGCATATCTCGATGTCCTACGATTATAGGGGTTACTTATTTATGTGTCTAATTTTCCACTGTGTAGAGCCTGCCACTCCAAATTTATGGATCAATGCAAATCTGCAACCTTCCGTGACAGGCCGTGGACTATTTCTGGACTTTTGTTGCATATCTGATTCCATTCCATTCCATGGTGGAATATTGACCTTTTGGAGATTCTTGTTGCATATCTGATACTGTTCCATGGTATGATTAGAAAGTACTTCAACGTAGTCCTAGATCTCGAATAGACGGCTTGTTGCACATCTGAAGATTCTCCGCGACGGAATATGAGATTCTCTTTCGATCTTGGGAATTTTGTCGTATATCAATGTTGCTGTGTGGAACTGGTCCCTAGATTTAGATTTGTTTAACTTGTCAAAGAACTTCCAATATCCCATGGTGGAATATCAGGTTCTGACTCGACAGGATTTTATTGCATATCTCGTCGTTTTCCATGCTGGAATTGGAAGTCATGGATATTCACGTTAGACATTGGAAAATAAAAACAATATCTAGCTCTCGTTGTATGTCTAAAATTGGACCATGGCGGAACCCATCAAATCAAGACCAGTTCTTGAATATCTGGCGATGGGCTGCACATCTGAACCTCTCGTGCGGTGGGATATCATGTTGGACTTCTATTCCATATATCATCTTGTACTATGATGAGATTGAATATTGCCTGGATCCGATGGATCAAGATCGGATATTGAAGTTCTAGGGTGTAGCTGATAGCTTGCTATGTGGAATGAATATATACTGCTTTTGTTGCATATCTCAATATCGCTACGGTGGAACCGGAGACTACTCGATTCTAAATGTAGATATGGGGGGGGATAACTCTATAGATTATATTTGGGTTTTCGTTGCACATCTTGCTACGTCACTACATCCCATACCACTATCGTAGAACTAACTAGTAGACTCCTCAGACCTAACAGGTATTTGTTGCACATCTGCAATCCCCCGTGGCGGGAAATAGCGTTTATTTTAGCTCCCGATCTCCTCCCGCATCTTGCATTTAGCTCATTTGTTGCACGTCTGCAATCCCCGGTGGCGGGATCTCATCTTCTCAGACCTCGTAGTGCAAAAGCTATACCCAAACCCAACCCTTCAAAGTCCTGTTGCACATCTGCAATCCCCCGTGGCAGGATTCCCCCCTATTTTTAGCGTTTAAACATTCCTATCCCTTGTATTCACCTCTTTTGTTGCACATCTCTTCGTCGCCATGGGGGCATTTAAACCTAGCAGACCGAATCCAATCCAACCAACGCAACATCTTCACATTTTGTTGCATATCTGAGACCTTGCCACGGTGTAAACACGTGTTGTAATAGTACTTTACTACATTGGGTTTTATTGCATATCTAGTTCTCACCATCGCATTACAAACTACCAAAATTGAAATCTAGACCTAGGTACCCAGGTAGTTAGAAGTTAGTGTCTGATTCAAACCTGTGTTTGTTTTGTTGTAGCGGTGAGGTATCCTCGTGGCGGAGCATACATAACCGATCGATCATTAGCATATTTTTTGTTGCATATCTTATTCCATGCCATGACAGTGCCCCATTTTTCTAAATATAATTTCAGTGATTTTGTTGCATATCGATAGATCTCGTGGCAATTCAGAGGCCGGGTTGCAGATTTTGTTGCATGTCTGATCTGATATTACTTCTCGCCATGGTATACCGATCGGCAAAGTTAATGTAAGATTTCCTTGTCTCAGACAATTTGAATATTGTGATTGGGCTTGCAAACAAATTCAAAGCGCCTCTCTCACATATAGAAATCGTTTAATGAATTCGAATAGTCTCGGGGTATCCTTATCATTAATTGTTTGAAGCATAGAAATACATCCCAATTTCCAAACTCCTCGCTAACCCATCCATCCAAAACGTCGATCCAAATCCAAACGTGAGAATATGCTATGGAACATACTCTCTATCCTAAAGTAACCCACAAACCTAAACCTGATAATGCGAAGCTTCAAGCTAGGTCATAGAACGCCCTTCCAAATAATGTGATGCACCAAAAAAATAAACACTTTTCCATCTTTCTTTTCTTTTCCTTTCCTTTCCTTTCCTTCCCATTTGCATAACTCCAGGTTGTTGCTCGTAAAATTCATACAATCGTAACTTTCCCTTCTTTTAACTTTGTGCTCCTCCCCATGGTCCACCTACTCATCTCCCACGATCTTCTTTCCGCATCGCGATGAATAATTCACTTGCTGCAAGATCAACAAAAACTTGTCAAACTCTCCGGATCCACTTGATCCAATTTTCCTCTTCGTCCCCCTAGAATTCGTAGATCACCACTGTTCATCCAGGGAGTGATGCCGTTGCCAGGTGTGCCCCGGCCAACTGTGTGATGTTTTTGAGGGGTGTTTGGGAAGATTAGGGTGGAGAGAATTTTGTAGGAGGGAGGGTGGGCGCTGGAAAGCGTGTTAATGCTGATCTTGATGGGAGAGAGAGAGAAATGATTTGGATGACTTACCTTGAAGATGAGGTTGAGGAGGATGGTTTTGAAGGTCCTACTTTATATGCTGACGAGGAAGATGATGACGGTGTAGATGAATATGAGGATGAGATTGATGATTTCACCATGGTGTATTTAATGATTTTGATTAAGCCTTGTTTTCTTATTTACTTGAGTATTTGAATCCCACAAGAATAATTGAACAAATACGAGAGTGACGCTTCTAGATGAAAAGTATTTGATAACGAGCAACGTTGGATTTAATTAGGCGACGAATTGATTCGAGATATAAGAATTGATAAGTATGCTGAGATCTGCTCTGAGTATGATATCACAATACAGTATCAAGGACATTCAGGAGATATCAGAGTGTGTGGTATATATGTATGTCATAATGCAGGAGTGCCATGTAACTTTATAGGTATTCCATTGGTTGCACAACCGGAACTAACCGTGCCTCTTTAGGTGGCAAATCTTGCCCTGAAAGGTAGAATTGGGCATAATGTCCTTGCATCTTAGTTACCTTTCTGTTCTTCTCTCGGGCTTAACCACTTGGACTTGGATGATGTGAGAGTGGAATTCAGGGGCTAACGCCAACACTCCAAACAGAACATGCGAGGAGGACAATTCAGCTGCGCGTTGTGAAATGTTCTTGACACGTGTATCGGTGTAATGATATAACGAGTGTGCTATCATTGGCATGGCAATTATATTCCGGAGGTATGATTTAGTGAAGAGTACCTGTGATACCCAGTGTGACGAGAGAATGATTCTTCGCAAGAGAATAGGGAGCGAAAAGCGAGCGAATGCAGGCCTTGTTACGTAATGTGCTGATGAAACGATGTGGATGTGACCAACACTCCCCATTGCTGTTTAGCAATTGAAACACTCGTTGATCATGGGAATGCGTATACCAAACCTTTGATTTTGATGGTTGGCTATGGTATTGGGTCGTCACACATAAGGCGTCCTCGTCCTTCCTGTAGGTCCTTGCTGTACCTTTAGCTGCCCCACCCTTAATCACCCTTTGTGCATACACCAACACATGGGATATTATCGTATCATGGTATATTCTAGAAAGATCCTCGAACCCCCAGGCACAACCAGCCAGTCATCGAATGCATTGCCAATACCGAAAGATACCGACCATGATACCATCAATCGATTCTTCCGCGCCCGATTTGTTTCCCCCAGTACATTGATGGGCATGTGTTCCGATCTTGTTGGGCAAGCACGTAATTGGTACCACATCTTCAGGCATGCTCTCCGTATTTCCTCTTGTAGTCGCATCGTCTCATGCTATCGATACGGAGTACACATGAAGCGACCTAGTAAAAGCATTCTAGCATTCGAAGTCGCGAAAACACAACATTATTCTTCAACATGTGATGAGAACGTGGCATGGATTAATTCATTTTCCCATTACCATCCGGTACGTAACTCCATAGCCTCAATATACGGAACATGTATGCGGGACAACGGAAGGAAAAATCACGTTCCAGAAGCCGTGGTTCCGTCGTGGTACATTATCTGTACCCCACGCGGGGAATATGGGTCCGTTAGAGCGTTATCTGTCAAGTCGTATTTATTATACCAGCATCTCGTGTGCAGGTTGATTCCATAACAGTCATGATTTTCGTGATCGGACGATATGGACACAGAAGAAGATATGACAGGGAAGATCGGGACGGGTTCCTAGGTTTTTTTGGACGATAGTTTTGGGCTCCGTAGTTTTTTGTAAATGGGGTTGATCGTAGTTGCGCATGTGATGGTACAGAGAAAACGAAGGGAAAAGACGTATGTTTTAAGATCATACGATGTGTTCTTCTCATGTCTCTGCTGCATTGTATTCGTGCTTGGAGCGAGTACCAATTGGTGGGCTCGAGTATTTGGATTAATGTCATTGAAACTGTTACTCACATCAATCCAAACATCACTTTGAGAGGGCTATTGATTGCTTGTTTGGGTATTGTCATTGCAGCTTCCGAGTTAAGTTCAAGATGCAATAAAATAACTACCACGTTTTCAGCCTCATTCCCATCTCCTTTCATCTCCAATCCTCATAAATCACACAAAATATTCCTCGAGGATATATGATTCCTACTTTATCTTTTCCAATCCAATCCAATGTATATTCATCGGTCCATACCCATATCTATGTTCCAATTCATCCCATTCATCCCATTCATCATGAATTCGTCTCAACATTACCACAATGAAATCCTGATGTGTGAACCACAGCCTAAACCGTCGCTCCCAATTTAAACATCCCTTTCCTATTTCCCAACCGTTTCACAGCTCCATACATATAATACAACCTTATGGTACAATCCCTATCCTTTCCCACCATTCCATAACTCCATATATATCAAACCCATCCTATGAAATAGTCCCTCTACATTCCCCTTTCGCATAATTATAATTGAACGCCTGTAAAAGTCCCACAAAATGCAACACCATGGCCAACACAACCAGCAGATGAAATATCTGATGTGAATTGCCCAATAGATCAAAACTACCTGGAATCCACGATTCTGGCCATCGTTTCTATTTTCCTATTAGTCTTCTCAACTTACACCTCCAAAAACAGGGAACAGAAAGGTGAGAACGTACAGCAAAACAAACAACACCGACTAAAAGCAGTAATGCTTCTGCGAAGTAATACGGCATACCCGATTGCTCCATCGCCTTGTCCCATCCAGACTGCGCTATTGTATGGACGAAGGGAATAAGAACCGAAACAGCTGTTGCACAGAAAGCTACTACACGAAAAGAACGCCATCGATGTCCTTGAAAAGCAGGTAGGAGGAGGAAAACTAATGCCGTGCTTGACATTGCTAGAATCTATCCATTTCATAAGTAAAGAGAAATGAAAAAGGAGAGACAGCTACCATTCCACAATAAGCATATTGTAAAGTCTGTTGACAAAAGAAAGACATATATACAGCTGAAATGAAGCATCCAATGATGAGAAAGACAATCCCCACATAATCGAGTTTTAACCACAGGTCGCGGCCTTTTTGAGAATGTGAAATAAGGGAATGGAAAATTGCCGAGATGCCTAGACATATCGTTGCGCAGAGAATGAAAAATGAGAAGATAATATGATCTTTGATCGTAGCATTAGGGTAGCGCGTATTGAGATAATACATAATAATGCCTTCGAGAATAATGAATAAGATACAAGGAATGAAATGAGACCATATGTTGAAAGTTTCATTATGGATTTGGACACAGGAATGTAAACAGGTGGAAGTAGAATGAGATATTTGTCGATATCCAGAGTGGATATGGGGGTTATCCTGGCTCCATTCTGGAAGTTTGTCAAATGTTATAAGATCTTGCTGTCCTTGTATTGTTGATGAAGTGGCAGATGATGTATATTTGAATTTCTGATGTACTGGACTTGGTGGGGGCGTAGGGTCCAACAAAAACGTTCGTTGTAGAACGGGATAGGGTATGGCAACGCCAATTCCGGATATAGGAGTGAAAGCATCATCGATGAATGTTGGGGAATCCGTCCTACCATGACCGACGGTAGAGTATGAAAGATGTGAAAATTTGGACTCAGTATAGACCATGATATCACTCTTAGAAAATGCTCAAACCTAAAATTAAAAGGGTAAAGGAAGATTAAAATTTTGAAACTCCATACAACCAAGGCATGGATAAGGAGAACATTGGCTAAATCAAAAGATGCACCGGAGAAAAGAGTATCAAATATATTCCAAAAATTGGCCGAGTCTTCCTAGATATCATCCACCAACTCGAGATAACCCCTCCATGAAGATCGGCTAAGCGCTTCACTGCGGTTTGGCGCACACTTTTAGGCTTTATAGCCAATAATAGAGTAAATAGAGTGGGACATCCCACCGAAAATCAGAACAATTATAGGCGCAGCAGTGTCTGCACGTCAGACTTGGCGTATATCTCTAAGATCGAGTTGAAGAACCATCATAAACGACAGGCTAAATAATTCGTGCAGAATTCTGTAGAGGAACGGACCGTAAGGCTTACTACCTTACCAATGATAATTGTGAAATTTATATGGCTTGATTATCAAATCAAGAAAGAACTACTTTGAGGCTATGATACAGTAATGTATGATGGTTACATTTTCAAATCAATAGTTTGGAGGAGGAAATAGATTCGGTACATTTGGTGGGGGTTCCTTTTATTGATGGATCGGTGATATCAAGGCCAAGGGCCAACAAGTGACCATGAATGCGACCGCGATAAGAAGAAGGCTTTGATTTCGCATAGATCTGATGTGTATATAGTAAAGAAGTGGAATTTTTGATAATATAGAAACAATTAGATAGATATCTGGATTGGTATCGTGCCTACCGGATGTGCTCGTAAATCCAACGAGATAAATGGGTAGCCTATTTGCTTGCATGATCTACAAGACGGGAAGGAAGGCATTCGCGAAAGGATTCAATTCTCGATCCTTGGGTTTTCGGGATTGTTGAATGCCCCTTGAATTGCGTTACGAGAATGGTGACGGTTGGAAATGGCTTTTTCGTGGTATAAAATGGAGTGAGTAAGAAACGATGATGAAGGGGGAAATTGTGGCCGACTGGGTTGAGATTCTGCCGGATTAATATATGTCCAGGTCCGATCATCTCTAATTTTAGCTCCACCAGCCGGTACTTCAGCCATTCTAGCTAGGTAGCACTGCCACAACATACTGCCTAGATGGATCCATAGGTATGCAAATCTCAAAATATTGTGCTTTCTTCACCATATATTGGTTCTGTTTGATTCTTACAAACGGTATTTGGCTATGTGATCTTCATAACCGTCGATGTTATACATCTACATCATATTGTTAAACACAACCTCTCTTATACAATTAAAGATGATGTATATCGTGAGAGCCTTGTCGGTACAACAATATTAAGTCTTTTTCAGAGGCTTGTTTATCAAAGCAATATCCTTTCATCTCTCTACACCAAGGCATTCGTCGTCAACCGTTATACACTCGAACAACGGACACGAATATTCAATTTTCAGCGCACCGATTAAGGTCATTGCTAATCTTAACCAAAAGCCCAATCATTCGAGCGAATCAACTTCGTTTACCACGCGAGAGCTTCCACCATAAGATGTGAATCTTTCAATGGGTTCAGGATCTTCTATATTTGGGACGTCCGAGTGGACTCTGATATATCGAGTACTGTGTATAGCCGTGATATCGACTTGAGATTCAGCCAAGTGCTTGCCCAGACCGATAACCATGTATTCTGGACCACGATGCAGAAATTCTCAAGAACTTTACCTGAAAAGTTTATGCAAACTCTTTCAGCAGGGCAACGAGGAGTTTTTCAATCGCGAATATATGATTTGACACGATCACAACTATCTGATGCTGCACGGCCACGATCTGTTTGGTTGCCTTGTCTTCCAAGGTTTTACGTGAACACGAGCTCACGAGGTATTACTCATTATTACTCATACGCTAGACGGCCCGGACCACCAGTATCATCGGGAAAGTGGAACAGGAACAGGAACCAGTGGGAACACGACACAGCAAGATTCTTGTTGTGGAATTTTTGTGTTGTACGGAAGCTCCCTGCAAATCGAGGCACAGTTGACAATTCCTGTGAAGCATCCCACATTGCAATGATAATTAGGGGTTTCGAAAAGATCAAGGTGAGGCAATTTATGATTGTTAACTCTATTCACGAAACGAGAGTATACAATTGTCCTATATCAAGTTGAACAATCAATACTTACTTATCTTTTATGAATTTCAGATAACATTCAACCTTCAATGGCTCAATACCGTTGTCATCTTGAAGAACCGAATGGCAATACGTTTATTAACCAATCTTACCTCCTCTATATAGGTATCTATCAATGAGATGCTCCCCTCGTAACTGCAGTACTTGCTCGTAATTCTACCTACCACTGATCATGATCGGACATCATTGAAGGATTCGGGGCCATTGATGATACCCCACGTAAATCTACGGCTGAACGATATAGCGGAGATCCCAGACATTTATCCACTAATCTGCATCGCGAGACCAGCTTGGACCAATCAAATATCGTAAAAACCACCTAGGGCTACTAGTTGCATACAAAGAGCCGCCACATTCACGTATGTACCGATAGTGAAAACGTTCATCCTTTGCCTAGACAACACGGTGAGTCAAAGTATTCAATGCGGGCGGGGAGGACAAGAAACTGGATAGGCAATGTATTGCTATCTCCAACGAATGGGAGAAGGCTGGTGTGGTGCTCATCTGCGGGCTGACTGCTGCGGCGAGTGCTGCCTATGTAAACACCACTTGTACTCCACAAATTTCATCAAAACTTCACCAGATCTGCTATCCCCTCATCTGCTTGAACCGTCCAGCTTTTAATATTTATATACTCTTCAGTTCAATCCACCTCATTCTTCATATCCTTTCTCATACTTCCTCATCCTCCTCGCTTTTCTTCTTTCTTCATAATACCTAATCACATACTTCTCACTTCTCCAAAATATCCTCAATCATGCATTCCAACGAGATACCAAGTAAAGATGGCGAGAAATATGTAGTCGTCAAGGTCGAGAAGGATGCTACCACTTCCACCCAAGCATCAAGCGATGCAGGAAAGGACGAAGATATCAAATGCCCAGAGATCTTATACAAAGTCCAGTATAAGGATGTAGGCGGTGAAATCAAAGGAACAAAGGAGTTGGCAACACCATATAAGTTGAAGAAAACCACGTATGTCAATCCATTGTTGGCTCTCCCATCAGATACTAACATTTTCAAGATATCGTGATTCAGAAATACCTATTCTAGAAGTCTTATACAGTGTTACTATTTGGTTCCCTACCATCTATGGCAAGAAAAAGAATAAGAAGGACAAAGATGATGAAAATGTGATATCATCAGAGATGAAAGACGAAAATGACTTCGACGAACGATCTATGGAAGAGAAAGAACTCATTATTCATTCTCCACACATCATGAAAGCCTTAAGATCTATTGTCGAATACTATCCCGGACAATCTTTACTCGGTGACACTATTTCAATCAAGGAACCTTACGGGATTCTTGTCCATTACCGAAAGGAACTTCAAGAATACAAAGAGAATTGTGACGATGCGGAAGCCAGTCACCATATCAGCGTCCTTCAGAAGTATCTTGAGGATAACTTTGAAGAGAAGTTAAAGTTGGAGGATGACCGACATGCTAGAGCTAATCCAGTAGTAACGTTTGAGATGTTATGGATGCTGTTCAAGCCAGGAATGGATGTCTACGCTCAATTCGACGAGCAACGCGCTGGTTTCGTTCTTCAAGGATGTGAAAACTCCACAGAGAATACCAGACCAGGACAGCCATCACCTCTCAAAGTTAAGATGTGGTATCTAGATTTTGATGGCCGATTCGTTGGACGTCGATCTCATGAGGTTACCATCGCGCCGTTTGAAGGCGAGCGCGAAGTCACATCCTTAAAGGTTATTCCTGCCCATTACATCGATAGCAATCCTGCCTTGTCTCCACGAAAACAACTCGAAGATCGTGGAGAGAAATTCTACAGTATGTTGATGGGTAAACAAATGGACTACAGAGGTTTCAGTATGCCCGTTGAGCAAAAGCCAAAACGTTTCCATGAGGGTCGTGTTGTGGTTGATCAAAGTGCTTTCTACACATACGCCGATTGGCAAGAAACACAGAAACACCCAGCTCCAGTCCTCGGTATCGATGATGACGATTCTGGTATTCTTGCAGATTTGCACTATAACTGCAATTGTACAGATTGTAATTCTAAACGACTAGCTGCATCGGCCAATACAAGATGGGGCAAATACGAGAATATCGAACCTCGCGAAACACCTTCGCTTGCCGAAACCGATGCAAATGGAATTGTTTCACGACACAAGTACTTCCTCTGTCCTCGTCGTATCATGGGTTTCGATCTCAAGTCTAAGAAATGGCAAGCTCTCGACGTCGATTGTTGTCAACCTCCTAAATTCTACACTTCGGCTATCGAAAATCTAGTTCTACCAAACGAAAAGCAGGAAATGATCAAAGCCCTCGTTCACAAATACACTTCCTCCAAGAAAGCTGGCAGAAGCGAAACAACCTGGTCAGCTGATCCTATCCCCAACAAAGGAGAAGGGCAAATCTTCTTATTGCACGGTCCTCCCGGTGCTGGTAAGACCTACACCGCAGAATGTGTAGCCGAATTCACATCAAGACCTCTCCTCTCACTCACCTGTGGTGACATCGGAACTGATGAATTCCGCGTCGAAGAATCCCTCAGCAAATGGTTCAAACTGGCCGAAATCTGGGGCGCCGTCATGTTAATCGACGAAGCCGATGTGTATCTCGAGCGTCGTGAAGTTTCCGAACTCACACGTAACGGACTCGTATCTGTCTTTTTACGAGCGATGGAATACTATAGAGGTATTCTCTTCCTCACTACAAACCGTGTGGGACACTTTGATCCAGCTTTCTTCTCTCGTATCCACGTGTACATTGGTTACCGCCCTCTAGACTGCGAAGGCCGTAAGAGAATCTGGCTTCAATTTTTCACCAAGCTAGGATTAGAACGCGGACATGAAATCACCATCATGAGTGCTGCGAAGCGCTACATCCTCTCAGATGAGGTACTCAAAGATATTGATTGGAATGGTCGTGAGATCCGCAATGCGTTCCAAACCGCAGTTGCACTAGCCGAATATGAAGCCGAGACAAAGAAGGGGCCAAACGAGGATGGAAAATTGGAAGTGGAATTGAGAAGAGATCATTTCGAGAAGGTGGTAGAGATGAGTGATAACTTTAAGAAATATTTGGCGACGGTCGGAAGTGATGAGGTGGCTGGACAGAGCGAGATGACGAAGGCAAAGCTTAATGGAGATAGAGGTGATGATGCGCTTTTGTAAGCAAGGGAATTTAGGAGTTGAGGGCTCTTCTTGGGTATATACTAGCGTTATTACAATCTAAAATGGATTGAGTCTCTCAAATTTGCTGAAATTTCAGATCAAGTGAAAGATTATGTGAGATTTTCAAATTACATCATCACAGATCGGAGAGACATTCGTTCTCATTGATGCTGGCGGGGGTACGGTCGATACCATAACATATACTATTGGGGAAAGTTACCCTTTAAAACTAAAGGCGGAGGGTGTTGAAGCTGGTGGTAAGTTCTGATTTCATTCAACATCTCTTCACAGTATACTGAGTAATGTAGGCGATCTCTGTGGCTCTAGCTGTTTGAATGAGGCGCTCCGGGAACATCTGAGTGTCAGACTTCGAGGCGAAGATTACCTTGAGGTCAATCGCTCCACAATTGAAGGTATTATAGATAAGTTGTTAGTCAGATTTGAAAATGATGTGAAAAGAAATGTCGATGTGGCGGCAGACAACGTTCCAACAGTATGGATTGACATACCTGGCTTGAGAGCAAATAAAAACCCGGACAAGCGATTCCTCAACAATCGACTCAAGATGGATGGTGAGTGAGGGAACGAAATGAGATATCAAGCCTTTCTGACACGCAATGCAGTGCTGACCTAAAGAAAATCTTCGACCCGCTTTTGGAGAGAGTTGCAGTCTTGATGAAAGCCCAATTAGATGGCGCAAAAGAGAAAGGGTTAACCGTGAAGGTGTGTTATAACTTATCTATTATTAGGAGGAAAGTAACTCAAAGAGTCTAATTCGCTAAATAGAAAGTGATCCTTATTGGAGGCTTCGGGGAATCTCCTTCCCTTCGAACCTATCTAAAAAAAAACAACTCGCAGCAATACGCAATTACCGCATCGATGAGATTAAACTGGTTTTCCCATCAGCTCCGTAGGCTCCCAAGAGTTATCCTTTAGATTGTTATAACTAATCATAGATACAGAAGCGAAACCACTGTTTCCTCGGGAGCAGTACTCCGGGCTTTGAATAAGAAAGGCGGCCCATAGCGTATCAGCCGATCTAGCTATGGATTCCTGTGTACCGAAGAACATGAACCGGATCAATTTCCTGCGCATAGAGAGATACGCCCATACTTTGAGCCTTTAGATGGTAGAAAATACCTGAAATATACCATCTACTGGCTCATCAACAAGGTCAATATCTATGTTTGCGACGGATCAGGGCCAATCAGACAATTTGCTTACATCATTTTTAGGGCGACGAGATTCCTACAGATAAAGAGTATCGTTTACAAGTATTTTATATCTTTGACGCAAGAGAAGGCACACGATTCGAGTGCAAAGAGTACCTCTGTGTTTCCGACAACAAAATGAAATCACACTACCGAAAAAATCTCGAGAAAAATAAAGGTGTGTAAGGGAAGATGAATTTGTGAGTAGGTCCCGAATCTAATAGAATGAGTATTTAGGAGCAACAGTGGTCGGTATCATTGAAACAGATATGACTTTTCTGAAGGAGCAAAATCTTATCCAACCGGTAGAACCAGAAGAAGGCGTAAGAGCAAAGAGACACTACAAAGTCGGGTATGAACTTGTTATGATCGTGAACGATCGTAACATGAGATGGGAGGCACGATATCCTGCCGGAGGGAAAGTGCAGGGCACAGGACAAGTTTCTATTGCAGCAGCATTTGTCCCTGGTACTAAGTGATGTGGAAAATCACTGCAAGAAATATTGTCAAGAATGGGTCTTTTCTTATCAAGCTGAAAGAAGATAATGGTGTCTGAAAGTAGGAGAGTGAATGTATAATATGAACTGAGATATTGATATAGATTGGAATAATGATACGACTTGGGACAACGAGGAGGTTGATACGAATTGATAGTCTAGCTTGTGCCCTCAAGGTGTTCGGTCACATGATTAAAAGAGTCTCCGTTCAAAGTGTCTAGTCGGCCACTTTCTAAAGATGAATCTGTTCTCGCTGGGCTGAGAATTATTAGGTGGGTATATGTAGCTGTGCTGTGCTCTCCTTTGTTGTTCCAAATAACCTTCTCAACTTTTAACTTTCCTCAACTTCCTCAACTTCCTCAACCTCTTAACTCGCACAACCCTTCCAATCACTCCAACTCCTCTAAACAACCTTTGCGACAACAATATCTTCCTAGCAATAGGTACAGGTATATCACCAATCAAGAGACAGTCCAGATATCCGCGAGACGAAACGAAAACGATCTCCAAGCATCTGCGAGATAGACTCGAAGACATTCTTACTCTCCCAAGTAAGAAACTCGCCAGAGAAGAACTTGTCACCTACACCACCGCAACGACATGTCGAAGTACGCAAGGTTTTGGTCATGAAATGCAATGCCACTCACATGCAGAGGGCTTGCTCAGACATTTCAAACCATTTTGAGATACCCGGAATCAAGACTGGCACCGTGAGAATGCGTGCTGATCTGATCGAGGAGTGGATCAACACAAGAAATTTGGGCAACGACCAATTCTTGGTTCCATATGGTCGCATGGTGGATTCGAACATATATACATAGATAGTGAATGAAATATATACCTGCAATGGCACACCCTCTGCTAGTTGATTCCGATATAAGTGACAACCTTAACAATCATTTGGTTAACATTCCAATGAAAACATATTCTCCGATCTTAGATGTATCCGCAACAACTCAGCCCTACGTCGCCCTCACCATAGAAAACCACCACATTTCCACATCCCACACTATCCATCTTCTTCATCTCCAAAATATTAATCCAAACAACACACTCAAAAACAACCAGATCACATCTTCAACTACTCTGACTCACTACATCGAAGTAATTGCGCAGTCTCCAATAACCTAACCCCAGATTTCCAGTTGTAGCACTCGATTTGAATCCTAACAATATGTGTAATCATCATCACCATCACAAAACCCAATCTAACCCAATCAATCAATCAAACAAAGAGAAATTCGAATATCGAAAAAGCTAGACTCCGCAGCAATACGAAACCATACACCTCTGATCTGATATCTTCTTCTCTGCACTTGACATGAATGAGAAGACGAAGACGGGGGCGAAGCGAAGCGAATGCCAAGAATTGGGAGGGGTGAGGAAGGAGGGGGAGTTGAGTTTATATAGATAGGTAGGTATGGATACTGTTTGTGGGGATGGATTGTGGGATTATGGATTAGGGGTTTTGCTATTATTATTACCATTAGGTAGAGATAAATAGATGATAGATAGATAAAAATCAAAGATTTAATTTAATATGGGATGGGAAAAATTAAAAGAAAGCAAGTGCTCTCTAGGTAGGTAGCGAATAGTATAAGACGAGGAGAGGAGCTGGTGGAGTGAGTATAAAATGAATCAGAAGAAGGAGTCAGAAGAAGAAGTCAGAAGGAGAGGAGTATTGAGAGATAAGATTTGATATGGGCTGAACATCAAAATTCTTTCATATTTCAGATTAGATCAGATATTTCGAATTTGTTGATATCTCAAATCATCTGGGTAGATCAGATATTTCAATTCTATCAACATTTTAGATCGGGTTAGAACTTCAAATTAGATGAAAACTTCATACCAAGTTAGAAATTCACAAATTCTATCAATATTTCAATTCAAAGCAAATATCCAAATATATTTAATATTTCAGATCAGTTCAGATATTCAAATGCTCGTTTGGAAACAACATTTGGTGTGTGGTTTGTGTTGTTCATATATATATGGAGGAGAATGCTTCGTAGTAGCTCTTCTGTGTTCTGGTGCTACCGCTGCTCCTCTCACTGCCGCAGCTCCCGCCGCTGGTAGGATAAATACTGAATGAAAGGGAGATAATCATACCGAGGATAATCATCAAGAATTACCAACTAAATAGAGAAACTTGGATCGCTAGATATATCAACCACCCAGTCCATAAAATTTCAATATTGCCTCACACAAAAAAGTGATCTTCACCTTGCTCTTCGCCTTTGACAACCTGCTTGTTTTCGAAGATATCATAGCATCCGACTCCTCAACCAGCATCCTGTCGTATTTTCATCCCCTAGTTGTATCCATAAACCAAACTGCTGTAATTTGACAGTTGAAGAATCGAAATTATAACATGGATGAGTATGTATTTCATTCGGAGCAAGATCAATGAACGCGATTGCTGATGTATGATTCCAAATCTCTGGATACAAATTCTGCAACAGCATTAAGATATTGACCATGTGTTGCGAAATAGAAGAGAATGATATTCTCTTCGAGCGAGGTATTGCCTTGATTGATACAGGTACTCCTGTTGTTATCAACGAGATTGCTTTTTCTAAGTATCTGTAGTCAAGTAACTTCTGCAGTTTCCTTATTCTATCCTGCGAAATGAAGACCTTGTTCTTAATTCAAACCAACTTTCGATTGTTTGCATACAACAGCAGGAATGCCTTACCCGCGTAATTGTTCCTGTAAAGATATCGATTCATACAACCTCAAGATCGCAATCATACATGCTTCTGTCAACAAAAAGAACGCAAAAACTTTCTTGCCCTTATATTGAGCAAATTGCCGGAATTCCGATACTGACCCAGGTAAGTCCATCATCATATAATGGAACGACGATATTTCATGATGTGCTGCAACATTTAGATGTTAAGAGATTCGTCCTTTCAAGCCAACAGCACCCCTAGCCATCCCTCCATAAACTCTTCGATGTTCTGGATAAATTTTCAATCCTACAATAGTGACAAAGTTCAGATATAAACCTTTCACTCCATATTCAGATGGTATATCCGGCAACAACTTGTCACCAACATCTTGCCAACCATCCTCATGTAAAACCATTTCCATTGCTCTCCCTAGCCACCCCCCTATAATTTCCTTAGCTAAATTCACATCATTTATCGTATGCATAAGCTCCTCCACCGAAGGATCTGCATGTGCTAGATACTTCTTACTTCGAACGTGTTTGAATATCTGATTTGGCTTGAACATTCGATCTTTCCTGGATATCTAAACCGACTTGAAATATTGATAGAACTTCTGAATATCTGACCTGGCTTGGGACATTGACAGAATTGGAATATTGAAAGAATTCCAACATTTAAACAAGCTCAAAATATTCAGGGTGTTTGAATTTTCTATCTGGCTTAGATCATCGATAGAGTTTGAATACCTGATCTGTCTTGAACTTTCCATCTGGGATGAACATCTGATCTGGCTTAGAACACTGATATATTTGAACATCTAACCGGGCTTGGAACATCAAAAGGGTTTTGATCATCAAAATCGAATTGGAACACTGAAAGCATTGCACTATCAAATCCAAAGCAGAACATTACCTACCTAGTGACTATAAGGTTTGCTTGGTGTACAACTTTATTTCGTCCGTCGTTGAAGCATATGAGGCAATGATCCGTGCGCATGTTACGTAATAAAGCATTCCACCAATTCCGAGGTCAATGAAGACAAAACCGCACAAACCTCGAAAACCATTCGGAGCTGGAGTCATATCAATAATAAGACATAGACGTTGTACTTCAAAAGCAACGCTCAAACACCAAACAGCATCAGAGGGGAGCAATAAAGCGCAAAAAGAGATGAACGCGCTGAGGATCGAACTCAGAACCATTTCGGTGCAGGAATCCAAGAAACTGGATTCGAACGTATGTGCACAAGTTGTGAACGAAATATCATAACCATTAGACCACGCGTCCGTTGCATGTTGTTGAGAAACGGGCGATCTTTTGAGTATATGTTCTCTGCTCAAGTTATGGAGGAATACCAGCCCAGCTACTCAGAGTCGTTGGTGGGTTGGTGGGGAATTATGCAGCAGAAAGTGGGCGCTAGGAGGAAGTCGGTGGGTTCGAACCATAGCAAGGAACTCGTACTCCATGCTTGGTACGGAATAGATAAAATTAATGCAGTTCATGAAAGAATATCATCAATAGGAAAAAAAGGGGTTGAAGTCATTCCCTTTGTCTCGACTCTCCTCATATTTAATATGAGACGATATTGACAAGGGGCCCGTGATTTCCCATTGTGGTGAACTTTAAAACCCCGTGTAATCTTTGGCGGGCGCAGCAAGTCTTTCAAACTGTTAATAAACGGCGAAACTGCGAAAACTGCGAAACTGCAACATTCGCCGCTAGAAATTGAGTTTCACCATCATTTATTACCTACAGCCTGCAAAGCGATAGATAGCATCATCAAAACACTTTTGGATGAGCTTCGCATAATCATCCCCTCACAAGTAACAAAAACAAACAACAAATTGAATTAAAACATTCTTTTTTTTTGAATTTCCTCCTCAACATTTCTTAATTGCCTACATTTCAATAACTTTGATCCCCTTCTTTTTCCCATATCATTTGTATGAGCCGGGATGGCTGGCCGTTTTGTGCGCGCGTCGAAATATCGTAAGCCTTGTCACAATATCCCCAAGGAGAGAGGCACGAGAGCAATCGCTGACCGATCGTTCAAATAGGACATGTCTTTGGTAAATCGTCCAAGAAGGAGGCGTGTTACGATAACTTGCACATCAGTCGCAATGCATGGGATACCAATTTAATCAAGGTGGGAAACCAATGACTTGGAAAAGTGATGTAGATTTGAGGAAGAAAGGTAACTCATCATCGAAAATAGGCCAATCCTGAATATCTTTCGGTCAATTGGGAAGCTAGTGGTGGAGGCGCATTCGCTGTTATTCCTTTGAATGAAAAGGGTCGTCTGCCAGAACAAATTCCATTGTTTCGAGGTCATACTGGACCGGTTCTTGATACGGATTGGTGAGTGGTTGATAAAGTGGCAGATTGAAATAAACGCTCATCTTTGGATTAGGAATCCTTTCAACGATCGCATTATCGCTTCCGGATCTGATGATGGAAAGGTATTTATATGGGAGGTTCCTCAAGGGTTCTCCCTCTATCAAGACTCTGAAGAACCCGTCGATGTTGCGCCTGTCAGCAAGTTGGCAGGTCATTCTAGGTATGTGCCGATAATACCGAAGGCTCGAATTGATTCTAATAACCTGCAGGAAAGTCGGACAAGTTCTATTCAACCCCGCGGCAAACAACATTCTCGCATCCGCATCTGGAGATTACACAGTTAAGCTATGGGACATCGGCACCGGGAAAGCACCTTTGACATTGAAGCACGGAGATATTGTACAAAGTTTATCATGGAGCGCAAATGGAGCTCTTATGGCCACCACTTCTCGAGACAAGAAATTACGCATTTGGGATACTAGACAAGAAAGACCTGCACACGAAGGACCTGGACATACTGGCGCAAAGAATAGCAGAGTCGTATGGATGGGAGAACATAATCGCGTGGCTACCACCGGATTCTCCAAGATGAGCGATCGTCAGTTGGCTTTGTGGGATGTTGGTAACGCCAAGCAACCAATTGGAGGGTTCACTGTTTTGGACTCCATCTCGGGTGTTTGCATGCCATTCTGGGGTAGGTTACATTCATGAATCATGTTGGATCTATACTAACGATCATCTAGATGATGGTACTCAATGTCTGTACTTGGCAGGCAAAGGGTAAGTTCATAGGCAGGTACCGGAAAGAAATTAGCTAACAATTTTAGTGACGGTAACATTCGATACTATGAATATGAGAACGACAAGTTCGAATTTTTGTCCGAATATAAGTCTAGTGATCAACAACGTGGTATCGCATTCCTTCCCAGACGTGGTATTAATGTAAGTGGTTGTCATTGTGTGTCTTTCACATACCTATTCTAACCAAAATCCAGGTTCACGAGAACGAAGTCATGAAGGGATTTAAAACCGTCAATGACCAATATGTGGAGCCTATCTCTTTCACAGTTCCTCGCCGTGCCGAAGTCTTTCAATCTGATATTTACCCACCTGCGATTGGTTTGAAACCTGCAGTTACTGCTGAGGAATGGCTTGCTGGTAAAGATGGAATTCCTGCCAAGATCGATTTGGAAAGTGTATATGAAGGAAACGCCCCAGTTGAGGTACCATCCGATTATAAACCACCTGTCGCTGCACCAGCCCCAACTCCAGCCCCAACGAAGACCGCACCTCCAAAGGCAGAGCCTGAACCAGCTCCAGTCGCACAAAGAGCACCTCCACCAACTATGTCTGAACAAAAGGGTTCCATTTCTGCCATGGCCTCCAAATTCCAAGATGATGATGAGGATGAAGCCGATGATAATTCCAGCTTTGAGGAGATTCAAAAGCCAATTCAAAAGTCCGTTCCAGCTGCAGCCAAGCCGGAGCCAATCAAGCCCACTCCAACTAAGGTCACCCCACCAAAGCCATCTCCTGTATCTCAAGCAACACCGACATCATTCGAGCCTGCAGCAAAGGCTACCCCCGCCACTATCGCTACCTCTTCCGGGCCCATTTCCGCGGTTGGTGCTTCTCAACCATCCCCAACCTCGGTTGGCGTCGAAGATTCCCTAGCAGAAATTAAGCAACTTTTGGAAGCCCAAACTAAAACTATTACGGCGCAAACGGAGAAAATTGGTCTATTGACTCAAGAGGTTGATACATTAAAGATGAGAGTTGGTCCTGGTGATCAAAGTGAAAGAATTAGACAGTTGGAGTTGGAGTTGGAAGCTGCTAAGTCTTAAATATGGGATTTAGTTGCGGAAGTGCGGTGTGCTTTGGGGGTTTTTGAGAAGTGGAAAAGAGGAGAGAGTACATTACATGACGCAGGTAGTTTTCAGGTTTCAGAGCGATAGGCGAATTGATGATTGAAAGGTGTTCCTTCTTATGAGGGCTATCGTTTAAGTGAATCTGAGATATTTACAACTGAATTATAAGTCTAGTGAACAATTCAAGGATGCAGGTATGTGGGAGTTGTAGCCTAGCCGGAATGGCATAATAGATCCATACATTTGTATTTGCATTGTCTCGTTTTTGACTACAATCATTGTTCAACTACAAACTGTACAATACACTTTCGTAATTCCGGTCCAGCCTATCCACTCCCATCTTTCCTGTTCAACTCTGATGTATACAAAATCCATACTCTCGTTCTTCAACTTCAAATGATTCATTCACCTCGCATTAATTCCTGTCTGTCTCTCGAAACTCTCTTTCTGCAGATTTATTTGTTTTGTTTTATGTTCTTCGTTTTGTTTTGTAAGACTATTTATTCGCTTGTTAGGTAGGTAGGTAGTACTTGATGTATCTACTAGGTATCTTTTCTTGTTTTCTATAGGTACTGTTGTATTGTATTTTTGATGTTGTGTGTTGTGTGTTCTGTGCTGTGGGTGGGTGGGTGGATGGTGGATGGTGGATGTTTTATTTTTTTTGGATTGTATTTGGGTATATATATTTGGGTATATATATAGGTATGTTATCTTCTAGTAGGTACTAATTGTTTGATATACACTTCTCACTTATCATCTCTCATCCCTCATCTAATTCGGGGCGAGGCAGCTCGCCAGTGTTTCGGAGCGCCCAATATACTCGATATCTAATAAGCCTCTGATATCGAAAGATTGAAAGTAAAGCTTTCAAGGTTATTCTTTGTTTTTAAGTTTTTTTTTAATTCTTTATACAATTGAATCTGTAATAAAAGATACTATATACATATCATATAACCACATAAAAATTGAATTCCTGGATTTAGAAAATATAGTTAATATACACCATACCAAAATTCCGTAAAATTCGACGCATAGGTTTCTTTAGCTGCGCTCCGAATTATATATCTACTATATCTCCATTAACCCAGAATATCTACTTCCCTTATCTAGGTACCTATGGATTGCTCAGTGTAAGATTTATTGATTGTGTTATTGTGAGTGAGTGAGGTCTCTTGGGGTTAAAGCGGAGAGGAGAGGGATGGGATGTGGAATGGATATGTGGTTACTTCATGAGTATCTAAATAGTTATAATTGGGGTGATGGCTGGGAATTTGAGGGTTGTTGAGAGTTTGGGGGGGATAGAGTGGGATAGGGGTTTGGCGTCGGATGGGGTGGGTTATTTTTTTGGGGTGGAGGGCTGAAATTCTTGGGAAGAGGGGGAGAGGGAGACGGGAGACGAGGGGAAGCAAGAAGAGAAGGGGCCGGCTTGGGAGCAAGAAGGCGCACTATATGCATCCCATTCCCCCCCTCACCAGCACCATCCTCACTTTCGATCATATAACTTTCGATCATACAATTTTAATTACATAAATGAAAGCCTAACTAAATCAAAATCACTTGATTACCTAGGTAGGCATGCATAATCAGTTTGCTTGAGCTTGTGTTTATCACGTGATTTTGGATGGAATCAAGTCATATTGTCTGTCGAAAAATCGAGTGGTTGTGGAAAATGTCCTGAAACCCGTTCACTACCACCTACTTATAGTACATCGTACTAATATCACAGTTTTAGGCATAATGAGGGGAAGCATCATTATTTATATGCAGAAACTACTCGACAAAATAAAAAATTCTGTCGTTCTAGCCAAGAAATCAAGGGTTGGATTAAATCAGGAAGCTGGACTTCAATCTCGTTACTCCGCCCCGTCATTCAATGTTTTATATCTTAACGGAAGTTAACATGAGACGTTTCTCATGCCAGGCTACCGCATGCTTGGATTGACCATCTGAAGAAATGCAAAAGTTTGCAACTCCGGAAAATGGTATCAAGTAGTCTACGGTGTGTGCTAGCCCATGGTAATTGATCTATCAACGATTGTACACTTCAATCTAACTCAGAAATTCATCGATAGGCATTGTTTGAAGACAAGAGTACTCTTGATAGTAATTAAGATTCGAAGAACACAATATCGTGGGTATCTACAAGATCTATTCAAGTCTTGGCTCTGTCAGGAAAGGAACGTAAGAGGCTAAAAATTCCCGTCGGGAACATTATTTCCTATCCCTTTGACTTAGATTCATCAGTACCCGTGGCTTAAATGTCTGGCTACGAGCTTCATTCCTAAGCAAATATTTTGTAGATCACAAACGTCTTTTTCTGTGTTTCCTTTGGTCGTCGCGCTTCAAGAATGCTTGGATATCCACATTACATATTTCGCGAAAGTCGCGAATATGCACGCGCTTGGAGGAGGGGGGTTAGGCGAATCCCTCTGCTTATAATCTGAGTGTTCTACTATACTGGTAGATTTTTGCACCTAGTGAGTTACGGTGCTTGTGCTTTTGTCTTCGCTGCGCTCTCTCATTTTGCGCTTCTCATCATACAGTCGGTCATTCATTAACCTGTCCTTCATTGGATTATCACAATCTTTTAACCTTTAAGATGTTTGTTCGCAATGTTGCAGTTTGGGCTGTGGCTCTAAGTGTTACCGTTTCGACGGTTTTGAGCGAGAGTGCTGTTGGTGAAAAAGTCGCGAGAGCTGACGGAGATGATAGCATGTACGTTTGCTTATGATGGTCCATGTCTGGTTAAAGACATCAGTCTGAAGATGATAAATGCTGATGATGACTTTGATAATGTAGAGCAAAACGTTTTTTGTTTTCCACAAACCCCAATGATTCCAGTGGCCCTTCTTTAGCAGATCTCTTTGATTCAGATCGAGACGAGGATGATGACTCGATCTCTGAATTTATTTCGCATTTGCTAGAGGGTAAGGGTGGAAACTCTGGCTCGGGAGGTGGTTCTGGCAACAACAATCCAGGAGGGAACAATAACCCAGGGAATAACAATCCGGGAGTCTCTGGCAACAACAATCCAGGTAATAACACCCCGGAGAACAACAACCCAGGGAACAACAACCCAGGAGGGAACAACTCCCCTGGAGGCTCAGGTGGCAATACTCCTGGCAACTCCGGAAGCGGAGGATCGAATGGATTCCCCAACTTCCCTGGCTTCCCCGGCTTCCCTGGCTTTGGAAATAGCGGAGGCTCAAATAATAACCCAGGAAACAACGGAGGTGTTGGGAATGGAGGGTCAAATGGCTTTCCTGGATTTCCAAACTTCCCCGGCTTCCCTGGTCTTGGAAACGGTGGTGGTTCAAACAACAATCCAGGGAACAATAATCCAGGTAACAATGGGGGAAATGGAGGATCAAACAATGGAGAATGGTCTCCCTATACTCCACTTATCCAATTTCTACGAGGCGAAGGAGCTAATTCAGCTTATGCCTCCCAATTTTTAAACAGGTTAGATGCTGCCGCCGTTTCCACCTTTCTACGTAGAGCTGGATTTGCTTCTCTCGCCGAGTTTCAACAGGAGGCTGCTGCAGGTCTAATCTCAATTGGCGACTTCCTTACCTTTTTGGATGCACTCTCACGCTATTCCTTCTTACAATTATTGGGGTTTCCGTTAATCATTGGCTTTCCAAATCCACCTGTATCTCCAAGTGCAACTAGTTCACTAGCTATAGTAACCCCAATTACGAGCGTTGGTATTATTGGAGGTACTACGACTACGACTACGACTACGACTAGTACGATACCTACGTCATTCATTCTTCCTGGCCCTTCAACTTCTTCTACCCGAACTTCCTCCACTCAAGCTATTGTTGGAGGTTCTTCTACTTCTTCGACGAGAGCAATTATCGGAGGTCCTTCTACCTCCTCAACTCGTCCAATCGTTGGGGGTCCTTCAAGTAGTAGCAGTACAAGAAATGGTCTCGGAGCTTCAACTTCCTCGACACGAGCGATCATCGGCGGCCCTTCCACTTCCTCGACGAGAGCAATTATCGGAGGCCCTTCGACCTCATCCTCTACATCACGAAATATTATTGGAGGTCCTTCGACTACATCTACTAGACCCATAGTTGGTGGTCCCTCGTCTTCTTCCACCACCCGTAATATTGTGGCCAGCCCATCCTCTTCATCTACTCGAAACGTTATTGGTGGGCCTTCATCATCTTCCTCAACCAGAGCTGTTGCTGGTCCTTCAACTTCAAGTACAAGACCATCTACTTCCACTAACTTGATAGCAACTTTCAGAACATCTAGCAGTAGTTCATCATCGAGCTCTCCCCGGGTTTCCACGCAAGGACTTGGAGCATCATCCAGCTCTAGTTCTGTACGGTTTTGTCCTCTTGTATGGCTCGATATGAATGCTAATCTTAAATAGTCAACACAATTTAATGTGGTACCCACCACATCCACAACTCGTTCAAGCTCTAGCTCAGTGAGAAATTTCCTGTCCTACAGATATCGGATCGACGCTAATATTTTGTAGTCATCAACGCGGATCAATCTTGTAGTGACGAGCTCTAGTTCCGTATGATCTCTTTTAATTGTCTATCGATAGCAATGGAAGCTAATTCTTAATAGTCATCAACACGAGTGAATGCCTTGTCAACAAGTTCTTCGGTCCGTTCCAGTACTAGCTCCGTATGCTTTTTTCTTATATCTCTTAGAGTTGAATAATACTAACGAACTGATAGTCGTCATCTTCATCCCGCACTTCTGCCTCGGCTGTCGGCCTTGGTGCTAGTTCTACTACATCGCGGGTAATAATTACTCCCATCATAATGATAACGCCATATAACCATTTAAAAAATACTAACATTTATTTAGTCATCATCTTCTTCTCGAAGTACCACAGCCGTAGGCCTTGTGGCAAGCTCCACTTCAACTAGGGTAAGAATGCTCTCAATATCACTACACAGATGCTAATGCTCCCAGACATCATCTTCCTCTTCCTCCTCTCGTAGCAGTACCTCGGCTGTAGGCTTAGTAGCTAGCTCTTCATCTTCTAGGGTATATTATTCATCTTTGCTTACTATGAAAATTATGATGAAGCTAATATCTTGATAGTCATCGTCATCTTCCTCTTCCTCTCGTAGCACTACTTCAGCTGTAGGTTTAGCGGCAAGTTCTACTTCATCTCGGTTATATATTCTTTCTTCATATCCTAACACCCCTTTCTTGTTTGAAAAGCTCGATGAGTTTAACGATTTATACAGTCATCTACCTCAAGTAGTAGATCTTCAACCCTTTTGGCCGTCGTTAGCTCTAGTACTAGCCGGGTAAGTTTCACTTCTTCTTACTGTTTTATCTTGTCGATATTTATTTAGTCTATTCTATAGTCATCTTCTTCCAGTTCACGCACCTCGTCTTCAACCCAGTTGGTAAGTTTTGCATATTTATGTCTCACATACTTCCGTATCCATAATGCTAACACTGTTAAAAGGGTCTCGGTGCTACCACCAGTACCTCAAGATCCACTACACTTTTCTCATCCACCAGAACTTCATCCTCCAGCTCCGTTAGCCCAACTACGAGTGCCGTTTCTGGTTTATTAGTCTCACCCAATGGAAGATGCGGACCTCAATCTAATTCATTATACACGTGCCAAGGCAGTCCTAATGGAAATTGTTGTTCGAGATTTGGATTCTGCGGTCATGAAGCTGATTGGTGTACGGGTGGTTGCAACCCCGCATTTGGAACTTGTGGACTGGGGCAGTACAAAGGATTGACGACTTCGAGTAGTTCAACCGCTGTGGTAAATCTTATATTTTTTGGTCAATTGGATACATGCTAAACTAGTATAGGGCCTTGCTGGAACTTCTAGTTTCACTTCTAGATCATCATCTAGATCATCATCTAGCTCTAGATCTTCCACGTCATCCCCTGTCGTATGTATCACTTCCATTATTGATATGACAAGTTCTAAAATAGATAAATAGGCCCAAGGATTAAGCACCAGTTCCACAAGACCAGGTACACTAAGTACCAGTTCAACTGCACGACTTATCGGAACCTCTAGTTCGACTTCTAGATCTTCTTCATCAACAGCTGTGGTAAGTTCTTTATTCTCAGAATGTTGTCTTTTATTCGTTTCTCAGGGTGAATGTTGAATTTTCTGCAGGGCCAGGCATTAAGTACTAGCTCAACACGAGCAACCACTTCAAGCTCTAGTTCCACGGCACGACTTGTCGCTGGAACTTCCAGTTCTTCTTCCAGCTCGACTGCACGACTTATTGGTACTTCCAGTTCCACTTCTAGATCATCGTCAACATCGGCTGTGGCAAGTCCTTTCCCTTTGAAATATAATCACACTATTGCTTTCTTGTAATGAATTCTAATGCCTTTATAGGGTCAAGGTCTAAGTACCAGTTCAACAAGAGCAGCTACTTCAAGTACCAGCTCAACAGCAAGGCTCGTGGGAACTTCCAGTTCTAGTTCGAGTTCCAGGTCTTCAACATCGTCCGTAGTCGTAAGCATTTCCTTTCTGAAATAGTACCCTGTCTCCCTTTAATCTATGATGATACTGACATAAATGCTAGGGTCAAGGATTGAGCACTAGTTCAACAAGAGGATCCACCTCATCATCTAGCACAAGGCCAATTGCCGCCACCGTTAGCACAAGCTCAACACGCTCATCCACAGCCGTCGCTGCTTCCGCTAGCGCTTGTAGACCAGTCGCAGCCCCTGCAGCAACCCTCGCCTTGACCGCAACTGACTGCTGTCAATACTACATCACCAGAGCCGGTGACACATGTGCCAGCATTGCCGCTCGTCCTGGCATTGTCGGCTTAAATCTCGCTGTTCTAGCTCTTCTCAATCCAAACTTGAGATGTGTAGGACAAGGCCCTCAAGTCGGTGTCGCCGTCTGTGTTCTAAATATCCAATTATCCATCGTAGGCAACCTGGTGTCACCTGGTGAATCCTCAACCGTAACATCTTCGACTATCGCAACTCCAAGTCCATCTCAGGCAATCCCTCAAAGCTTCTTTATCCAGGCTCAAAATTCTGGAACTGTAGCTGATGGAACCAGTCTTATGATTCAACAAGCTGCGGAATATTTTGCTGGCTTTAATTTAGAATATGGTCAATCGGTTTTCCCATTTACGTATGATCCTGAAACTGGATACTTGACATCGGGTCTATATATCCTATGGGCTACAGCATCATATTCACCTCCATCCATCAAGGTGGCTCCAGTTGGTTTTACCGGATGGGTAGTTCCGGCCTGGCCATTGGTTTGTAGCATAGATGGCAATCTGAAGGTGACATGTACGGCCAATGGAAATCTTTATGGGAAATTTTACCTCATAAATGGTATGTTATCATTTTTCGTGTCTCTAGGTACTGCACCGAGACTTCTACATGTGAAGAAATATACTAACAGATAAAAGCAAACAATGACGGACAAACTGAACTCGCTATTGGCAATGGCGCAACAACAAGTTCAATCATAGTTGCGCCAGTTGACCTCTACCTTGTTGCCAATGAGGAGGAGGATTAGTGAAAGAGTTTGGGTGGATAGATTTTTTCAATGTGCTGGAGGGAAAATCGTATCATTTTTATTGATTTCCTTCTCTTTCGAATTTCCTTGGCTCTGGCTGGTTTGTTTTCGATTGGAGTATCTGTGGTTGCCTGAGTGGATGAATTGAAGGAAAAAATATCAATGTTTTTAGGACCATGAAAAATCTATGTGTTAATGGTATGTAGCTTTATTTAGGTAGTTTGAATCAATTTTCGAAATCTTAGAATGAAATCTTGTGGTTTTGTGGTTTTATGGTTTTATTTCTTTAACAATACCCCTATTACTCGCGACACTCTCCTATGTACTATAATTGCCGAGTTTTAGATACAGGCGCTTCGAGTTTTGCTGGATTTCATGTATACACTTGAGTATTTATATTCGACGTTCTGCAAAATCATTCAAAGCTTCCTCTCTCTAACCAGGTAGGTAATTAGTGTTTGGCTTGGCTTAACCAACCAATGATAACCAGACATTTCCTGTATTATTATACTATCAAGCAACACGATCTACAAGCCCATTTCTTCTTTTCCACTTCTCGAAGTTTACGAATCGTCTGAACTTTTGAACTTTAACGTGGATCCAGATCCAAACCCCTGCCACACACAAATTACATCTCGCTAAGGCTGCGGGGAGCAAAGCCCCATGTACCCCGCCATCCTTCAACCAACCTCAATGAGCAGAACCTTATAATTCGTACGTAATACCGCGAGCGAATTAAATTTCTTCTCAGACTAAAGCAAGCACGCCATTTGCATCACGAATTTTTCTGTCGATTATTCGTCATTGAAAAATACTTATTTCTTCGAGAGCATTTCAAAATCATGGAGAAAACAACCTGCATATCCTTATCTTCCTGCATACGCATCGTTCTCTTCCACTACACTTATTCTTGACTAGAATTCAATTTCCATACCTTCTAAAGAGAGCACAGATGAAATAAGAGATCGACATTCTCTCCTCCCTCACCTCAAAATGTCAAACTCTCATCTCCGAACAAAAAATGAAAATATCCACGTGATCGACCATACCAAAGATGCTGAAGCAAACAATCTTCACCATGACGACCAGGCGCGTCCCATCGTCGCAGATAAACTCGCTCGCTCCCTCTCGGCCCGTCAAGTACAAATGATAGCCATCGGCGGCACAATCGGCACGGGTCTCTTTCTCGGTACGGGGAAATCCCTTGCAACAGGTGGTCCGGCATCGATTCTCATCGCCTATCTCATCGTCGGATTCATCGTCATGTTAACTATGCTTTCGCTGGGGGAAATGGCTGCATTTGTACCGATTGCGGGAAGTTTCTGTACCTTTGCAGGTCGATATGTAGATGATGGGTTGGGGTTTGCTCTGACGTGGAATTATTGGTTCAACGATGCGGTGAGCACGGCGTCCGATTTGGTCGCGCTACAGCTGGTCTGGGCGTATTGGGGAGATACTGGATTGCCGGGTTGGGGATTGGCGTTGATTTTTTGGGTGCTGTTGGTTTTGGCTAATATTATTACGGTCAAGGCTTATGGAGAGGTGAGTTTTGGGATTTTGGGATGGAAATGATGGAAAGATGCTGACTGATGGGGATTTTAGCTTGAATATTGGTTGAGTTTTTTGAAGGTGGTTACTATTACGGTAGGTGACTTTTGTTTTCTGTGGTTTTATATGTTCTAGTGCCTCCATCTGGATAAACAGCTGGTATCCCAAATCTCTCGAATAAAGTGAGATATCAGTGAGATTTTTATTTAAGATTACTACTTGATTGATGATATCAATCTAGCTTTTGATTACCATTCAAAGTTGAAGGAGATCAGTAAAGCAAAAGTTTTTGGGTGTTTATATTATGATTGTTCAATTTGTTGTCGAATATGAAAGAATACTTATTTCTAGTGTTTCGGCTTTTTTAGTCTTATCGAAGAGTGCTAATATTTCTCCAGATCTTCATAATTCTAGGAATTGTAGTCAACTGCGGAGGTAACACTTCTCATACATATCTCGGGGCACACAATTGGTATATTGGCGACGCACCCTTCGTAGGAGGAATCGGTGGATTTGCTTCCGTCTTCGTAACTGCATCCTTCGCATGTAAGCATTCCCATGTCCCATAAAAAATTCCCCAGTCTAATTCCTCTCCAGACGGTGGTACCGAATCTATTGCTATAACCGCCGGCGAAACCAAAAACCCCACCAAAAACCTTCCTCGTGTAGTGAAAAACGTCTTCTGGCGTATCCTCATCTTCTACATTTTTTCCGTCTTCCTCATCGGTCTCAACATCCCTTACAACTATCCCGGACTCTCTAGCAAAACAACCACCACTTCCCCATTCACCCTCGTATTTCAAATGGTCGGCGCCAAAGCCGCAGGCTCTTTCATGAACGCTGTAATCCTCACCTCCGTCATCTCAGCAGGTAACCACGCTCTATTCGCCGGAACCCGACTCCTCTACGCCCTATCCGTTGATCGTCACGCGCCTCAATTCTTCGGAAAACTCAACCGCAATAAAGTTCCCTGGGTAGCAGTCCTCGCTACTAGCGCCATCAGCGGTCTCTGTTTCGGAGCAAGTTTTATCGGCGCAGGACAATTATGGACGTGGTTGCAAAATCTCGTGGGGGTCAGTAATCAATTAGCTTGGATCGCTATCGGAGTCACCTCGATCCGGTTCCGCGGTGCATTGGAGCTTCAGGGAAAAACTCATCTCTTGCCGTTTAAAAATTGGACGTATCCGTGGGGACCGTGGATCTGTGTCGTGCTTAATGTGGTGATTGTGCTGGTGCAGGGATGGAGTTGCTTCAGTCCGACGTTTAGCGCGGTGGATTTTGTGAGTTTTTATATCGAGCTGCCGGTTATGGCGATCATGTGGCTGGGCTGGAAGTGGTTGAAGGGGACGAAGGTGGTGAGTTATGAGGAGATGGATTTGCAGACTGATGTGCATGTTATTGGGGAGGAGGATGAGAAGGAGAGGGAGAGGGAGAGGACGGCGAGGGGGAAGGTGGAAAGGGTTTTGAGGTGGATTTTTTAGAGCGGTGTGTCCATAGAGTGAGAATGAGAATGTAACTCGGCGATTTTGAGTACTTATTTGTTGGTGAATTCATCATTGATATGTTTTCAATATACACTTTTGATAGGCAAAAATATGTATACCTGCTGCAATGAACTTAAAGAAGGGTTTTGGTGAATAAGGGGAGGTGAACGAGTATGATGGATGGGCATGATGGATGGATGGGATGGGAGATGCGATGAGATAGTATCACGCAATAGATCACTACATCCATAGGAATCTCGCAGAGAAAAATTATAACCTCCAAAAAGCATGGATGAAATATTTGAAGAATGTTTTTTATCAAGGAATCTATCACCAGAATCTCAAATTCGAAATGAGTTTTTAGTTACTAACATTCGATTTCATTTAATTTCATTTCACACCAATCAATCAATGAATCAATCACAAGACAAGAGATCAAATGAGAATTATTGAGAAAATCCATTAAATATTGCATTCGACAAAATATGATCCAAAAATCATGCCTCCTCATCTGATCGACTAAAAGTTATACATAAAGGAGTGACAAGAAAGTTTCGTCTCAAGTGAGACATTAGCGCATTAAAAAGGCATCTTTGCTTTGTGTTCCATCTATCCAACCCCATCGTACCCCATTCCATCCTATCCTCCTCTTTACTCCTTCTCACCATCTCAACCATCTCTCATTTTCTCTCCCCTTGACATTTAATCAATCCCTTAGTTTAGTTAAGAGTATAAGTGTACGAGCTCTCGCAAGTCCAGCTATCGGAACCTTGTTGACCGGGGTCATAGGTAGCTTGGTTGCTGGAGTAGGATTGAGCGAACAAGGAACAGTAGGTACCGATTGGCTTTCCGTTCTTCTTCAACATGTAGGAGTTGAAGAACTTGCATTGGAATGGAGAGTAGTTCAAGAACTTGTAGATCATTTGCATCCACCAGGAGATGAGGGAAAGATTCTTAGAGTTCTGGGCGGTCGCATAGCCGGCGCAGACAGCGGGGTTGTATGGACCGGGGAAGAAGGCTTGTCCCAAGCAGGTGTTTGGGTGAGAGTGTCCCTTGTTTCCACCACCGCATTGTTGAGCTGGCTGCCAGCCTGGTTGTGGCGCAGGAGTGACGGTCTTGGAGTATCCGTTGGAGCCGGTGATGACGACTTGGAAATCAGTGCGCATTTGACCGGTGTTGGTGGCCGATTCAGCACTGACGCCGGAGCCCCAGAGAGTACACTTGTAGTTGGTGATGGAAGCTGGGTTCTTGCACGCATCAGATGGGTTCATGTAAGGATCACGCTCAACGTAGATGTTGAAACCAGTGCAGAGCGAAGTGCTGTCGCAGAGGGAACCGCACTGAGCAACATCATAGCTAGTGAAGGTGGTGAGTCCGAGATAGGTGACAGCAGTTACTGCAGCGTTGAGATCGACAAAAGATTGAGTATAGCCAGAGGGAGTGGCGGCATTCTTGGCATCGGTGTGGAATTGAGTATAAGCGAGGAAAGCATCAACAGTATCTGGTTGAACCTTTGGTCCATAACCATCTGGTTGAATTGCACATGCTTTGCTGACATCTGGGGTGGTTTCTGGTACAGCAGCGGTAGAAGAAGTAGGAACACTGTTTTGGGCTGTAGTTGAGGTGGGAGTGCTCTGAGTGGTTGTGCAACTTGTGCTGGCGGCTTCTCCACTTCCTTCTCCATTACTCCATCCGCCATTTCCTCCCCATCCGCCATTTCCGCCCCAACCCCCGTAAGTACGTTTGACATTTTGCGAAGCAGTTGCTGAAGCAGTAGCAAGACCGGTAGCCTTAGCAGATCCTGAAGCGGAAGCAGCAGCGTTGTCGATAACTATAGATTCTTTGGTGGCAGTTGGGTGTGGACCAGCGACGGTTGGAAGAACAATAGCATTGATGGAGGCAAAATCAATCCCCTGAGCAGCTGGTTTGGCTGCAGCAAGAGCTGCAAAGCCTACAATAAGGAGTGAAGAAGAATGCATTTTAAACGATGGATGTGATGTGAAGAAAGAAGAGTGTGTAAAGAATGATTGTGAATGCTGGATGATGAGAAAAAGGAAATAGAGGGAAAGATCAACCTAGATATATGTTTTCATTGCAGTATAGGGAGGACCCTCGAGTAAGCAAGAATGTAAACTAGTGAACGCAAAGTAGGCTTCATCGTGGAGGATAGACAGGCTCCCAGGCGACTAGCTCAGGGAAGGAAATGAGAACCCGATGAATGAATTTTTAGTTCGGCTAGACAGCACCCGTTCATCTGAGTTCTTTATCGCCTAGTTCTTCGATACTAGAATCGCTTGGATTTTCCTCAACTACGTCGAGCTGCTAATTTGACAAAACTTCCCGCAATCCCAAAGAATGTGTAATTCAATGGCAAATAAGCGATGAGTCAATTTTCGGATGATAGAATGATAAGACGCTTTGAGCAATTAGTGCTCATACTAAAAACTTTAGTGCCGTTAATCCTTGGGAACGCCCGGTGCACTCAGTAAGGTACCCGCCGCTTTGAACCTCCTCAATGCAGGTACCAGAAGATTTCCCGTGCGGGCCAATGTTCCTTTTTGGATGAATAATGAGAGTAATCCACAGAAAAAAGCTTAAATAGGACTTCCTTCTCGCCTCTTCGGGTATTAGCGTTAGTCTATAGACATATTATGATCAATGGAGCTTAGTATAAGGAACAAATTTCGTAGCCGCCGCAACAAGCCATGTGTTTGTAATGTGTGATCAAAATCTTGGACAATAGCAACTATCGTATTTGGAAGTTGCTTTGATACTAGAGCTCTGAAAGGCATCAACACTCGTGTATGCACCCCTCGAGCTACGCTAATCGGAGATTGCATGTAGTCTGTGTAGTCTCTATATTGGCACATATCAATCGGACAATTTTGTAGTGTGAATGATGTCCTTAATTTTGATGGATGTAGGGTCAGTATAGTTTGATCGGTCCCCCTTTTTTGAAACATATATAGTATAATCAAGGCTAATACTCCTTGCGGCTTCTGGCGTCTGCCGAATATGAACAATCCTAAGCCCACTCATAAACCTGAACTTTCGATATGGATGGTCAGTCTTGGCGGTCGGTAAGCACTTCCGAGGAACTTTAGTCTTGAAAGAGAGCCTGAACTCGGCAGCTGTGATAAAAGTCTCCAAGTCACATGATTTCATGTTGTGCTTCTCATTTTTCTTTTACAAATCTTTGGGGCTATGCCTTTAAGTTGACCGTCTATACTCCTTTGCGATGAGGCACCAGCATCGAGATTCATTATTCGTTGGTCAATGATTAGTTCGATCGAGAACTGAAGTCGTCTACGATGACCTTACTAGAGGAAGGCTCAATCCAATAGTTTGAAAGTCCAAAAAGCATCCAGAATTCAGAATCCAGAGATAATAAACGAAGGATTTGAGATTGAATTTCAAATCGACAAACTTTTTGTCCCTTTGCCCTTTGACATCCATTATGGCGTTGAATCTTCATGCCACAATTGAGAAATGTGCAGATTTATCCGACACTCTAAAAAGCTTAAGATGACAAATTTGACTCGCTGTACTGATATGAGCCTTCGGCATCTGACTGTATAGAACTAGTAGTTCCAATGCGAGCATTTTCCATCATGTGACATGTCTTTTCCACTGAATGGAGTCAGTTGTTTCTAGGATTATCTATTTGCCGAGTATACTTCCTAGTCTCAAGGAGGTTACTCTTAGGGACATCTGTGAGTTCGTATACCTATTCGATGGTGGACTTCTCGGGGTTCTTGTGAGTCTTTTGCTCTTTGATTCTTCTTCGAACCGAGGAGATGATGATGATGATGGAGAACCCTTGGTGAAGATCCGAACTAGCTCTCTTCGGGATTAGCTCATCTTATCTGCACGTGCCCTGTGCTCTTCATGTGGACGGGACGGGTGAAAACAAGGCGGCACTCGTCACATTGAGAACATTTTATCACTTCACGCTGAAATATAAATCTCATAGTATAATTTACGGATAAAATATACAGTAAACTAGAGAATACTAGTAAGTACCTAGATATAAACTCACTTCTTCAACTTTTGTCCATGATAGGCAATAATTATCTGAATTGATATCGAACATTGAAAATATCGTAACCTTATATATTGGGCATCTCGGTTCTTCCTTCTTCGTTCTGCGGGAGACGTGCGCAGTGCTCAGCTCATACGTTCATCCAGAACACTCGCACGGCCAACGAACTGCATTTTCATCCGATATCAATTTCATTCAAAAATGACTTCACAAATCACTTTGGCCGTCATATCTTCAACCTCATTGTTAAAGCATCAAAATTGCTTGCCGACCTCTGTCATCTACTCATCAAGGTCCAAGTTATTGAGATTCATCGCACTTTGGCGAGCGACGATTTCCCGAAGTGTCCGAGCAGAAACACAATCACGAAAACATTCACGATTCATCCTTCATTCTTCAATCTTCGCAAGAACTCCGATGATTTATTGTTGCACCCAACTAGAAACATCGATGTGACCGCCCCCAGATATCACCTTCACTCAGCTCTCATCATTAACCTGACAGTGATCCAAACTCTTTCTCCCACCATGCTCCTGCCTGCCATTCATTCTCATGTCATTTATCCTCCTGCTGGTGGAGACAGGCTTCCAACATTTCCCACGAATACAACAAGAACTGCACAGTATCTAAACCGTTTTAGCATAGAAGTGCAAGAAAATGGAAGAAATGGAACGTACGCAGCTGCGGCAGCCAGAACCTCGTGACGTTTAGCTCGAGTGAAGAGCGATAAAACTGCAGAGAAGATGAAGGTAAAAACAAGGAGAACCGTAATAACTACGCCAATGAACGAACTCGATGTTGATATATGATTCAAGTACCAAAGTATGTAGACTGGGACGATGAGAAGTGTGAGAACTGTGACAAGAAGAATCGCTGATACTATTGCATTTACTCTATCTGGATTAAACAGTACGATCTTTGTAGTGCTGGGATCTGTTTTCTGTTGGAGTTCCTAATCAAAATGCAAATCAGTACAAGCAGCTTTGAACTCACGTACATTATACGAACTATAGAAGCAAATATATACTAAAGAAACCTGTCAGCAACACCCACTAAATCAATATAATTACTCACTCGCGTCAAGCGGCATGGGAAATTCTGTGGTATCTTTTCGACAGCGGAATCCAACCATGTATTTTCTCGACTTGGCTTGAGGGTGATGAGATCCTCTTTAGTGAGGATATACTGTTGCTCATCTCCGCAAAGGGGGGCTTCTCGATCAAAGTAACTCTTCAGTCTTAAGTAGTCCACCGTCATTGGCCGGTCGAAACTCGTCAAAGTTTGTGCGTGCGTCAAGAGCTGAACTTCATTGGTATCGGAATTATCAGATTAGTATTCTAATCGGCTCATCACGCTAGACTCACCATATTCCTTGTACTTTCCCTCAATCGCCTCAAGAATGCCTCTGAGATCATTGCTTTCGGCGTTACAGATGTCTCTGGAGCGCAGCCTTGCGGGCCATCTTCTCGCATAAAACCTGTCTATATGAGCAAGCCGATCCTCTAGCTCTCGCAATTCGTCCTGTTTGTTGAGCAAGATGCGTGCTTGTAGGTGGCCAAATCGTCGATACAACATGAATTGTTCATCACTATCTATGACCGCCGCAAGCTGTGGATAGCCTTGAGGGCGCCGCTCAACTGTGTACAGATCAGCATGGGTCAAGCAATAGAGCTCCCAATTCACGCTTACTTGTACTGACGATACATTCTTTTGCGTCCTTTCTACCTTTAACACCTCGTAAGTACTGAAGATAACGTTCCGTCGTCTGACTTGGTAGCGACTGCTTGAATTGTTCCTGTGTAACACCTTCCAATCTGATTGGTTGCAATGTTTTATTGTCTAGGAAAGTGGCCATAACCACATCACGAACTCCATGTTCCCCTTTCTCCATCAAATCTTCATCGTTAGTGTCGAGTGGCAAAGTAGTCATTGGAAATTCTCTGACAGCCGTCTTGTTTTTTTGAATTTGTCAAGTTAGTTAGGAAAATGCCAGAAGTTTGTCAAGCTTGCGAGTCATCGTTGTTCATATATAAAGATTGCCCTTCGAGGCTGCAGTCCAACGACAACAAATTCCGACCTCGCACAAATGAGGCTATGCGCACTGTGCATGGCATCTCGACAAAGTCACGAGGTGACTGACCAATCACAACGTGATCAACACGGGAACTTGCATTTTTGCATAGTACGAAACCAACGATGTTCAATTTGCCTGTCCGCTTATCTAATCCAAAATTGCATCATCCTCCGTCCTTCTGCTTAAGTCTGACTCTACGACCTTACAGTTCTTGAGAATATCAGTCTTGCCATTAAAGTGATATTGGATTTTGTAAGTGTGCCAGACATGCTCTTCATTCGCTTTGGATGTCTCCATTTTTTCATTGAGAAAGAAAGGACCCGCTATCACTACTGCTTTGACTTCCCCTAATGGAATATCCGGATGTTCATAAAAGACGCGAGACCCAGCGTGGAATTTCGCATCTGGGATAGTCAACACATCCTGTCTCTGAATTGGAGTTAGCTACATAACTGATTGAGGGCGTCAAGACTGTATTACTGCTGCATTCGTTGTATTGTAATGCTTGAGATCAGCAGCACCCGTCTGTTTGTTATCCATCGACCTGGCTCCCTCAGCCATATTTACTTCTACGATTCTATTGAAACGCGAGGATCTGTCAAACTACTTGTACTGTAGGTGAACGCTCAAGTTGATGATTCCCAACTCCTCCAATGAACTCCCAGACTGAGTATTTTAATTCACTTAAGGATGACGCTGATTTTTTCTAGTTTGCTTTGCACAACGGAGGAAATCGAATAACGAGCGCCTAGAATTGGTATTGAAATGTAATTTGGATGAGAAAAGAGTCTTCACATGAGGTGCACTGCGATCCTTCTTATACGCTATATGAATGATCATGAAAACCATGAATCATTATAGAAATGTTGTTCACCCATGTTCGATATTGAGGCTGGTGACTCCTAACATTGATGCTGATGACTCCTAAAAGATTCTTATAGGCCTTTTAGATAGCGCTTGCTTGATGCAATAGCTTGCAATCGATGAGGGAATTTTACTTCATTATCATTCCATTCAAACTGCGTTGCCACCAAACACGGAGAAGAGTTTCGTGGTTCGTTGAAGTATCTTCAAAGTTGCGCGGATTGAATCATCTCACAATCCCAACCACTCACAGATATTGTACCTGGATGATCATTCAATCCACAAAAACACTCATCATTTTCATTGAGTTCCATTGAACGATTTGGCATACAACATACATAGGAATTTCGAGTCAGCGCTCTTTTTGTACCACAATTAGTAACTCCTAAGGTGAGTAGCTTTGTCTATGATTACAAATACAACGTGCTTTATGTCATTCTAGCAACTCTGATTGCTTTGCTTCAACTCCCGACAAGGTGAGGGTTTGAAAGATTATCACTTGCACTGACATAAGGTGTACGAGTCACAGATTTGAAGATTCCTAGGGATCGATCTTTAACTCTACTTGACACGCATCTACGCCGACATCAATATCAAACATGTTTCAAACTGCTACTTTATACATTAATCTGATACTTTTCTCTAGTTTTTATTATCCATTCACAATGTTGAATCCCAACAAGCGACTCAATTACAAAAGTTCAATACTTCTTGGCCACACTTCATTCATTGAACAATGCATTATCGAATCATGAGTGGATTGTAAGGTTATATCTTACAGGTTACTAAGTATTTGTAGGGCCTGTTCGATCTACTCTCGGATTTGGATAGGCTCTCTCAACTAGATCCGCCTCTGCCACTGGCCTATCCGAGACACGAGACTGAGTCTCCCCATTATTCAAATATCGAACAAAATACGTATGCCAGTGGTATCGACTAGTCGCATTCTCGGCAACCACGATCCTCTCGCGTGGGTCTTCGCCTGCGAGAGTAGGACCCGAAATTATGACTGCGTCTGCAAAGTTGTTCTCCCCTCGGATCCACATGACACGCGATAAGACGCAAATTTTCGCGTCTGGACAGCGTTCTCCTTTGTAGATTAGGGTGGGATCCTATATTGATTAGTTTCGATTGTGTATCGGGAAGATTTGGAGTGTGTTAGGGCTAGTTTGGATGTAAAATCCGTGCTGAATCCGCTGAAATAATCTGCACTTTGTACCATCGCGGATTTCGTGGTGGTATCAATCCGCTTCAAAAAGAGTGGATTATTAATCTGTGGTTTTATAGTTTGGATATCAAATCCGCTAAATAATCCGTGGTTTTTTTAGAATATTTAATTTAAACTTCAATTCGATATTAAAACCCTATATTTAAAATTGAGAATTATATAAAAAGCTTTAATAAAATAATAATCTTGAAAAAGTGCTTAGAATTGGAAAAGAAATACATTTTGATTTTATCTTTCTTTTTTCTTTTCTTTTCAAAGAAAGAACCTTTTTTTAAAGTATTTTTGAAGCTATTTTCTATATATAAAATTATTTTAATGATTAATAATGCAATCATTACCCAAAACACTTCGAAAGCATTTAGGAAATCGAAAATTATTGATGACGATAACAATTGAAGATTTATATTTGTATAAAAAAGAGGTAGAAAATCTCGAACTCGAAGTCCCTCTCCCCTAATTCGTTATTTCAAACGAAAGCCCAAATCTACAGCAAAAGCAATCGAATCTCAAAGCCAACTTCGAGATTATAATATTTCCTTCTTTTCTTCTATTAGAGATTCATTATCCAGTTTCTTCTATAATGACAATACTACCTTTAATTAGAAGAAGATATTCTCTATAAAAAAGAAAAGCTATACACAGATATTTGATTCAAATAAAGCTTATTTTAATTATATTAATTTATAATATATAGCAAAATTCCGAAATTGATAAAAGGTTCTCAATAAATATCGATATAGATAGTAATAAGAATAATGATAATAAAAAGAATATCGATAATAGCTATAATACTAATCAAGATTTAAAACATAATATCTATAGTAATTCAGAAAGTGAAAAGAATTTCTTTACTAATATTATTGAAAGGAAGGATAAATCAATGGATCCGGAAACTAAGATTAAAGATATTTTGAAGAAATCTACAAATCAGTTTAAATAGAAACTCTATGAAAAGCTTCTTTTAAACTTAATGCAAAGTTATCTATAAAAAACTAATCAATGATCAGATCAATTCACTGGATGGAGAATATTTTATTATAGTTAATTTGCACAAGCTATTGCTTTAGAGTATAAGATATGTATTAATAGTAATAAGAATCTAACTAATAATCAAATTAAAAAGAAAATCAATTCAATATGAATATCCTCTTTTTTTATTAATTATTTGATTTAATTAATTTGATTTAGATCAAGGGATGTTATGTAGAATATCGATATCTTTTTAACCTATCTGGTTGGGGTATTAGATTTAATGAAAAGAATGATACTATGCAGTCTTATGCACCCGATTATTTATAGAAAACGCTTCTACAAGTAAGCGAAGCTAATAATCGAAAATATCATTAGCATCGAAGTCATTATACAGAGAGCTAATCAATTCTTCAATTTCTATTCGAAACTCATACAGCTAATGGTAAATTTGCATATCACCCTACAGCTTTAATGTAACAAACAATTGTTTCTTTGAATGAGGAGAATAATCTTACTGATTCAATATGCTTTATACCTTTCTCAGATAAGAGCGCTAAAAGGTGGAATAAACATAGCTCTGGGATATACAAGATAAGGAATTCATATTTTTGAGATGTATTTTATTATTAACTGATTTATAGTTAGAAACAAAGCGATATAAATAATCTATTACAAGCTATATATTATCGAAAAGGCCTCGAAAAACTGTCTCTTCTGAAGTTGCAGATAGTTTATTTTATATTAATGAATCTTTAAGAGATTTTAATAAATCGAGAAACCATTCTAATGCCTTATATACTCAAATCAACAATCCATTGCCCCTTTGGTATCAAGTATATTATATAATCGCACAAAAACTATCCTAGCAAATATAAGTCCCTAGGGGCTGATATTGCTTTCAAGCTTATTGATTTCCTATAATATCCAATACCTGGTATTTGCCAATCTTATAGTGAACTGCTGATATTTATACGTATAGACCCATTTCAAGTAGAGTTTATGGATAAGATCTGTAGAAAGCTTAAAGAGTAGTACGAAAAGGAAAATAATGAAATGCCTTTATTATCCGCTCCTTTACAACAAGCTTTAAATGAAGAATGGCTTCCAAGTTCTAATAGCTTTTGATTTGGCAGTTCTATTCACTCTGTTCTCTTTATTGTATGTTTTTATTAATATAACCTTTGTATTTATTCAATTAGATATTAATATTATATCTTTCAATACCTTTATCTTATTTGATATTAATAATATATGAGTACGAATGACACCTATTCATTAGCCCTAGATATGTGAAATAAAGAATATAAATATATAATAGCTGGCTAATGAGAAATGACGAGTGAGAAATAGCTGGTGAGAAATAGCTAGTAAGAAACAGCTAGTAAGAAATAGCTAGTGAGAAACGGCTAATAAGAAAACTGTAAAGTTTAGCCTCTCAAGGTGTAATATCTATTAATAACAGGGGTTACCAGCTTTATTATTCTTTAAAGAAAAATGCTATCTGTATTTTTAATAATTTGCCTCTTTGTATGAAATGCATAATATTATAGTACTATAAATTAAATCAATAATCTATTCAATTAATAAATAGAAAGAATAGAAAATATACTCTCAAAATGAGTAATCATAAAGAATTCAGCTGCCTTTTGAATTGCTATAAGAGTAGCAGCATTTCATTTCTAATACTTTTCACCAAATGTAAATTGATCTGAAACCTCTTTAACTAAATGTTGAAAAGGGGCTTTTTTCAAGAATAATTCGGTCAATTTTTGATACTTTTTAATTTCTTGTA